TTATTTTATTACTTTTAAGACTATTATAAGCTAACTAGTATTAAGCCTTTAAGGTATTACCCTTTAAAGGTATTATAGTAAGCCTTTTATAATTATAAGTTATAAGGCTTTATAGGTCTTATAGCTATTAAGGCTTCTTTATAATTATAATCTTATAAAAGCCTAAGCCTTTATAAGTTTATTATTATTTTATTACTTTTAGAACTATTATAGTTAATTAGTATACTTAGTATTAATATAGTACTAGTATAGTATACTTAATATTAGTATAGTATTAGTATAGTACTAGTATAGTATACTTAGTACTAATATAGTATTATTATAGTATATTTAGTACTAGTATAGTACTTAGTATACCTTAGCTAGTAGTCCTTTATATATTCTATAGCCTTTAGAATAAAATGCCTTTACTAAATATAGTTTATAGTATAATTTTTATTTTCTATAAAATTTATTTATATAGGTTTTTAAGTTAAATTACTTTATAAGTAAAAAGTAGAAAATATAGTAGTTATAAAGCCCCCTATATAGTAGTAAGGCCCCCTATATAGTAATAAGCTACCCTATACCTAATATAACTATAAGCTACCCTATACCTAGTATAACTATAAGCTACCCTATACCTAGAAGAAAAAGGTAACTTAGGTATATTAATAAGTACTATTATACCTATTAGTAAGTAGGAGAATTAGGCTACTATTATAGTATATTATAGTAGCTATAGTAGTTACTACTTTTCCTTATAGTTATTATTTTATTCCTTATAGTTATTTCTAGTTATTTTTCCTAGTTAATATAGATTAAGTAAGAGTAATAATAAGCAGCTTTAAAGCTAAAAGAATAATATCCTATTACCTAGTATATCTAGTACTTACCTATACTATATAACTAGATAGAAAATATATAATATAATAACTTTACCTCTTACCCTATATATACTCTATTGGTCTTAATAATACTAGGTTTTTATCTATATCCTAGCCTATATCTAGCCTATACTACTCTAGCTAGCTAAGCCTATTAACTACCTCCTCTCCCCCTAGGTTTTTATCTATATTAAGGGGGCTATATCTAATCCTATATATTTCTAGACTAGTTAAGCCTATTATCCTTTTATCCTCTTAACCTCTTAGTTCCTCCCCCTTCCCTCTATTTTTATTTATATTAAGAGGAGCTATATCTAGCCTTATAAGTCTTTAGGCTAGTTAAGCTTAACTACTACTATAGTCTCCTAGCTTCTATAATACCCTTACCTTCCCTCTCCCCTAAGAGTCTCTAGCTCTTATCCCTACTTATTATCTTTTTTTACCCTTAATACCCTATACTTTATCTATATAGGTCTAAAGTATATCCTATAAAGAATATTATAATAATACTCCTAGGGTTATCTTTAATTTTTATTATTATTAGTTTATATTATATAATAAGACTTAATAAATAAATAAATATATTTTCTTTATAATTATTAGCTTTTAATAAAGGCTAAGTAGTAATTTTAGCTATACTCTATTTAAATATTTATAGTTATTATTATTTTTTACTAGCTAGTATATAATTAATAAGTTATTATTTTAATTTTATTTATAGTTAATAAGACTTTATATAAATAAGTAATTTAGAGCCTTATTAACTACTAGCTAGTAGCTAGTAAAGAATAAAAAGTACCTTTCTTTTTTCTTTTTTTCTTCCTTTTCTTCCTTTTTTATTATTAATATTATCTTTTTTATCTTTATTAGTATATCTTCCTTCTTTTCCTTTTTTACCTCTTCCTTCCCTTCTATATCCTTTTCTTTTATATTTATAGCCTTTCCTTATTAAATCTTACTATTCCTTATTAACTAACTTTATATAACTACTCTATAATATCTTATTTATTAACTTTTACTCTTATATTTAACTAAAAGAAGGCTTTTAGTCTTTTTACTAGTCTTTTTAGTTCTTTAGCTATTAGTATTATAGCTTCTATTTACTCCTATATATACTCTTCCTTACTCCCTATACTCTTTATACCTACTAATATACCTTACCTAATAGTTAAGAACTTATAAGGTATTATATCTCCTTCTATATTAAAGCTTTTATATAAGTCTAGGCTTATAGTTCTAAAATGCCTTATAAAGAGTATTCTTAATTAGATTTACCTTACTATAGCTTATTAGTCTATTACCTAGTTTTCTTAGTTTATTCTAGGTAGCCTAATCTCTCCTATAAGTCCCTATTAGCCTCTACCTTACTCCTTACTCCTACTCCTCTCCCTCTTACTCCCTACTAACCTCTTATCCTCTCTCTAGTTTCCCCGCGACTTTCGGCGTTATATTGCCACTTCTAAGGTTCCCCCTTATTCTCTTGCCAGTCCCGCGAAGGCTATAAAGACTATATCGCCTGCTTTATCCCCCCTAATTTAAAAATATATAGGCTTTAAGGTAGAGTTTTTATTTATATTATTATTTTAATTTTTTAAGCTTAAAACTAGAATAAGCTAAAATAGTTATTATTTTTTAAATTAATATATTAAAAAAAGAGAAAAAGAGATTAAGAATATTTTTATATATTTTAAATAAGTTTATAAATAAAATAAAAGTTTTAAATAATAAAAAATATCTTTTATTATTTACCTTTTAAGTTTATAACTTTTATAAATTATATAAATAAACTAATATAAATATTAAATAACTAATTATAATTAAGAATAATTTTATATAATAAAATTAAAAAATAATATATATTAGAATTTATAGTTATTTTTATTTTATTCTTTTTTAATTAAAAAAAGAAATTCTTTTTTTTTTATATTTATTTTTAATTTAATTAATTAGTTTAATTATACTTTTTTAATATATTTTTTTATTATTTAATTTTATTAGTAATTAGGATTAGTTTTTTAAACTTAACTCTTTTATCTATATACTACTATCCCTTTCTAGCTTTCTACTATAAGTAGGTCTCTAGCTAATTATGCGTATTGTGATCTCTACTTAAATCACAACACTCTCATGACGTAAATCTGGCACCACATGGCAGGCAACTTGCATCATCTCGAATCCCATCAATTGCTGTCTCAATCGACGGCCGCATTGGTGCCTCACGACAAACCTCCAGCCTTTCGCCCGCTACCGAAATCGAATCGCCGACAATGCTACGCCCCGCGACACTCCGACCCCTCCAGCGGGCGGCTCAGCAGCCCGCCCTCCGGGCCGCCCGTCGCACAATCTCTTCGCGTGGTTCGTCCAAGCTGACGCAGGAATTTGACCTCAACAGACTGAATTCGCAGCGCCGTGACTACGACCGCAATCGCACGGCGTTTCTCACCGCGGGCGCCGTCGCCGGCGTCATCTCCTTCATCTACACGGCTTGGAAGCTAAAACAGGCCATTAGCGAGAAGAACGCCAAGGAGGGCAAATCCGGCGCCGTCAAGTTCGACGCCCAGCCCAACATCCCGACGGAACAGTTCAAGACCGAGGCCGGCGAGCTGCGCAAGATCATTATCCACGACGAGGACGGTAACGAAGTCGTTCCCACCGGCAACAGCACCGTGCCGCTGTTCCCGCGCACCATCGATGTCAGCCTGCCGCTCGACAAGAAAGAACAGAGCCCGCTCGCGGCATCCATCAGCGACTCGGCCGGCACTCAGTACACGCTCGTCGGCCTGGGCATGCGCAGCGTGACCTTCATCGGCATCAACGTCTATCTCGTCGGGCTCTACGTCGCGACGCAGGATATTGCCCGCCTGCAGCACTACCTCGTCAAAAACGTGAACCCGGTCGCCACGACGCTGATTCCCTCTGAAAAGGATACGCTGCGACAGCGGCTGCTGGACCCCGTCGAGGGCGAGGCGCTGTGGGACGCCGTCCTGCGCGACGCCAAGCTGCGCAGCGTCCTCCGCATCGCGCCCGTGCGCGACACCGACTTCCACCATCTCCGCGACGGCTTCGTACGCGCCATCCAGGCCCGATCCTCGCTCGACAAGCCGGCGTACAGCGACGAGGCCTTTGGTACAGCCATGAAGAACTTCAAGGTGCTGTTCAACCGCGGCCAGGTGCCCAAGAAGCAGGAGATGCTGCTGTGCCGCAACGAGAGCGGCGCGCTGGCGGTAACGTACGACGCGGGATCCTCGTCCAAGCCACAGCGCGAGGTTCTCGGCACCGTTGCGGACCCGAGGCTCAGCCATCTGCTGTGGCTGAATTACCTGGCTGGCAGCAAGGTGGCGTCCGAGCCCGCTCGCAAGAATATCGTCGAGGGCGTCATGGAGTTTGTGGAACGGCCGGTGGGCACGGTTGCGACACAGGTCGTATAGACGCGTGCTGTGCTCAGACTTGCGCCTTGCAAGGCGTGTACAACCTGTATTATTAGGTGTGGTGATTACAAAAGGGCATGCAATGCTCGTGGCGACGAGTAGCACATAAACCACTCAGCGATGTTAGATTTGAATACAGTATTAATGTTGCGTGGTACAGCGCTATCGATTGCACGCGGCCTTATTTACATGCGCGAGTATACACGCGGATAGCCACTATAGATGCACTGACGCAGACGGGAGTTGGACACCTGAAAGTTTGGGTTCGACGATTTCAACAAGACTATTTTTCTGTGTTTATCAAAAAAAAAAGGCAGCATTATGCCACTCTATAGTCTAGCACTGAAAACCATGCCTAATCAGTCTCCAAATTTGCAAGCCGGGTTCACCGGATATAAAGATTTAAATGGGGTATTCATGTAGTTTCGGTCGCTTACGCCTTGAGAGCGCCGGCCTCGGTCAGGAGAGCCTTGAGCTTGCCGGAGCTGCTGAGGCTCTGCACGTCCGAGTTGCCGCCAATGTGCTTCTTGGCGATGTAGACGTTGGGGACGGTGCGCTGGCCAGAGATTTCCTGGAGAGCGTCTTGCACGGCGCTGCCGTCAGCTGTTTGGCGTGTTAGTATATACGATGATATTTGACGAATGGAACCATGGAAGCCATGGAAGCCATGAAAGCTTACACTCTTCGTCGAGCTCGACAACCTTGAAGTCGGCGTCCAGGGAGCTGAGCAGGCTCTTGGTGGCCTTGCAATAGGGGCAGTAGGACTTGGAGAAGACCACTATAGAGCGATAGCGTTAGCATATAACCGGACCAGGTGCGAGCTGGCGCATTGGGGACGGAGATGGGCGGCGCAGCGGGGTATGACGGCATGGACGCGAGGGGTCGTGATGGTGGCTGGTGATGGTGGTAGTAGTAGCAGGGTTAACGTACCGACGGCGTTCTCATCAATGAGCTTCTGGGCTTTCTGGGAGGCCATGGCGACGGATTGCGGTGAGGGGGAGGAGAAGAAGTTGCGGAAGAAGTTGAAGTTCATTTGGGAGGGGGGCGTCGATGGACGGCGGGCAGTCTGGTTAATAAGTAGCTTCGCCGTGGGGACTACTGAAAGGTACCGCCGTTTGGCGGGGAACGTCGCAGCAGCAGCAGTCGTAGTTATTATGAAAGCGGGGCGGCGTATTGACGCTGCGCGAAATGCTTGCGTCGTGCTGGCAGCGGTGGTGGTGTGCATTTGCAGCAAGGTTCAATCTGGTGATGCAATTGGCGGGCGGACGGAAGGTAAGGGTGTGCTTTGAAATCGAGGCCTCGGACGAATTGGAGCCGTCCAATGGGTGGCAAGATGACGAAATGGGCGAGTGGGTTTCAATGATGCAATTGCAACAGCGGTTTTTTTTTCTCCTATTTGTCCGTCTTTTTTTGTGTACCTGAACTGGGTGTTTACAGAGGCGGCAACCCGCTATTATTATATCGGTACAAATTACAGCGGTCACTGTGGAGCATCTTCCAGCCAGATTCCAAAGCGTAGGTTACAGTGGGGGGCCATAAATTCCGTACGGTTTGTTAGGCAATTTGTATGGTGAACCGTACGGAATTTCGCAACCCACTGTACCAACCTTCTCGGCGATTCCCGCGATCTGCCTGTGATGCCGGATATGTCATGCCGAAGGTGATGGAATTTCTCACGCCTTGCTATGGCGCGAATCAGATTCAGGAAAAGATGTGCGTCTTTTTCGATAGCGTTTTATGTCGACTTATCCTGAGTGTTGCTTCTCGTCAAGTTCCTCTGGCAAGACCCATACAGCCTTCTAGGTTCGTACCTGATCACAATGCCATTGTTGCTCGATCTAGTACTATGACAACAAAATCAACGAGATCTATTAAGAAAACACAGATATCGAACAAATGCACCTAAAGCAACCCGAAATTACGCCTCACTCGATGCCAAATCTACAGCACGTGCCTCCATCGCACCTCGATCAACCCGGATGTTCCTACAGGGTAGGGAGCCAACGGCGCTGCGCCCCGCTGAAAAGAATTGCACCCTGGCCTCCCTGGTGATCCAGCATACATTTCCATCTGCATCGACTGCTGCCCAACCCCGCGCCCGCTCTCGCCAACCCTGGGCACACCTACACCCGATCACGACTAGTCGTACGACTCGACGACAGATCTGACCGTTGGCAGCTCTTACCCCGGGGCCCGCCTCTCCCCCGCCTCAGCGCAAACGTCCTCCTGACGCAACACCGCAGCGCGACGTCCACCCTCCCTTTCACATCCCATCGCGTCGTCCACCTGACAACCTCCACTCCAGGCAAGGTGTCCTTCCATAGGCCACCTTACCACCCGACGACAAGGTGGATTCTGCCCGCGCTGCTGTGGCATCCTCCGGTGCCCTGCAGAACATCGGCAGCTACATCACTGGCACCCTCGACTCCCTCTCGACCACCCTCGAGTCTTCCAACCAGTACATCACAGGCACGCTCGGCGTCCACCCCTCCCTCATCTACACCGCCGCTGCCGCCCTAGTCGCCGTTCCCGTCACAATGTCCCGCTTCAATTGGTCCCGGAGCCCCTACGGCTCCCAGCCCGGCGGCGTGCCCACCGTCACGGAAGACGACTACACATACATGACCTCCCAGGACATCGATGACGCCGGTCGGGGCCCATCAGAAAGCGTGCGCCGGCCATACACGGCTGAGGGCGACGGAGACGTGATCATTATTAAAAGCCGCGGCGTCAACTACCCAGCACACTTTCCCCGCCGCTCCATCGACAACGGCAAGCTAGAGGTCCACGACATTGCCGAGCGCGTAGGGCTTCATATGAAGTTGTCGGAGCACGAGATACGCTCCATCAAGATCATCTACAAGGGCCGCCACCTCAAGGAGCCGTTGGCGCCCGTGCGTGACTACGGCGTGAAAAACAACAGCGTCGTCATGGCTATTGTACCCGAAGGAAACGACCGCTACGACATCTCCGACGAGGAATTGGTTGTCGTTAACGAATCCAAGACCCAGAGGAAGAATAGGAGGCGCAAGGAGGCCAAGAAGCGCCCTGCCGGGGACGGCGACGCCGCCAGCAGCCCTCATGACAGCACCTCAAACGGCGGCGCCAAGTCGCCGTCACCCGTGCCTGGCGCGGCCGGCCAGAGACGCATCGACGAGCTAGCCAACGAATTCGCCACGAAGTGGCTACCCATGTGCAAAGAATACATTGCCAAGCCGCCAGCCGACTCCAAGAAGCGCCGTGAAGAGCATACTCGTCTGTCCGAGACGATCCTGCAGCACATCGTGCTCAAGCTGGACGAGGTGGATACGGAAGGTAACCCGGATGTGCGACAGAGCCGCAAGGACTTGATTCGTACTGTGCAAGATTTGCTGAAGCAAGTTGACATTGCGCGAGATTCTGTTGGCCAATAGACTTGCTCATACTATACTATCATCATCCCTGTTCTTTCTACTTGCTTTTTTTCCTTCTTTTTAAACTTTTGTTTTGCCGGCCATTGGATGCACAATTATAGACAGACTGAGAGGACAAGGCAAAATCTGGGGCTGTTGGAGCGAAATGAGATAGAAAAGGTGACGCAGATTGTGTATTCGGCACAGCGAGGATAGCATTGAGTTGCATAATGTACCTAGATAGACCAGGCCATTGGCTAGGCAGTTTACCGTTAGAGGGCGATGGGGACGAAACTGGTATGTATAGCTGGCTAATACCAACAATCCAAGTCGACCGTTTCGGACGTTTACAGTGTGACCGGACCTGCCGCTCCGCATCTGGTCACTGTCGTGTCACTGGTCAGTGACATGCATTTCCCCGCCTCCCAACACGGACTGAAATTGCAACACGTGATTTCGCTCCATTTCTTGGTGGTGGGCTGCGGCCAATCCTCGGCAAGCAGCACAGCTAGGTCTTGGTGCCCTAAGCACTCTTCAACCGTGAGCCCTGTTCGCTTGCCAGAAAACTCGACCCTAGACCAATTACAGCTAGCGCCCCTCCAGCCAGAGGCACAACCCAAGCCCTCAAGCACAGTGTGCACGACTGGATTTTCTTCCGTAAATCGCGAACCACTTCCTTCCGCCCAGGGAACGACACACCAACTAACCCACAGCAAACCACAGGAAACCAGATTCTCGTTTCGCCTCGAGAGTTTGTTCAGAGCTGGTCGACTTGGACATTCTTTTCTTCTTTTTATTTCACAGTTAAAAAGAAATCGATTTACGATGTCTTCCTTCGAGCCTGTTGTGAGTAACTACCAGTACTCAACGGTCCGCCTCTTTCAACGCCCGCACAAGATCATTGCGACGGATTTCGAAGCTTCATGGGATGAACGACACGATGCATTGGGGGACATAGCATATTTGAGTCTGCACCTTTTGGCAAAAATACGACCGACGCCGAAATTGACGCCCTACGTCGCCATGCATCCACCCCGCGAATTGCTAGATAAACCGTTGCTTTGGGACTTGATCGCTTGAAAGATGGCTGGAACCTTCGGCTCAAGGGAATGCGCAGAGAATTGGACTAACGGAATTGTCATAGGTCATCGTCGATGGCAAGGGCCACCTCCTCGGTCGCCTCGCCTCCATTGTTGCCAAGCAGCTCCTCAACGGCCAGAAGGTCGTCGTTGTCCGCTGCGAAGCCCTCAACATCTCTGGCGAGTTCTTCCGCTCGAAGCGTACGTTGTACCATTTATACCCAGCGAGCGACTCGTGTTGCATTGCACTCGCGCGCATTGGCGGCCTCGATCGTAAATCGAAGCAATACTAACCTCACACAGTCAAGTACCACGCCTACCTCCGCAAGATGACCCGTTTCAACCCTACCCGCGGTGGTAAGTTTATTCTCCCCGCGCGCTTCTTCCAGCGCATACACTAACTTGCGAAGGTCCCTTCCACTTCCGCGCTCCCTCCCGCATCTTCTACAAGGCCATCCGCGGCATGATTCCCCACAAGACTGCCCGCGGTGCCGCCGCCCTCGAGCGCCTCAAGGTCTTCGAGGGTGTCCCCCCCCCCTACGACAAGAAGAAGAAGATGGTCGTTCCCCAGGCCCTCCGCGTCCTCCGCCTGCAGCCTGGTCGCAAGTACTGCACCGTCGGTCGTCTCAGCCACGAGGTTGGCTGGAAGTACCAGGACGTCGTCGCCCGCCTGGAGGAGAGAAGAAAGGCCAAGGGTGCCGCCTACTACGAGCGCAAGCGTGTTGCCGCCCGTCAAATCGCCGACGCCAAGAAGACTGCCGCCGGCAAGAGCCAGGCCTCCAAGAAGCTTGCTGCTCTCGGCTACTAAGTGGCACATCTCGGTCTCTAAAAAGAGAGGGATGTCGCTCTCGCATTGTCTAGTCATTTGTCGTGCGTTTCATTAGATTGGCGCGGTGGTTCATCGGGAATTACAAACATGGTTTTGCTGCTTGCTACGTGGTGGCAAAGGGATAGTGGCACGGTTTTCATTTTGGGGGAAGAAACGGATGATTGTTTTTATCCTGATGTTCTATGTGAAACTCTTTGGTTTTGGTTGGAATGGGCCTCCTCTGTCGCAAAACTGGACAGGCAGAGAGGCAAACGAGGAAGAAGACGAAAGGAAAACAAATCAACCCCCAGTACAGAACAACAACAATCCCAAAACACACTTCACAAACGAGACAGAATCAGCAATGTGGTTTGGTGAACGAATGCGACATGAACGGCGAATGGCAGATGGCTGGACAATTGCGGACGACCTCAAAACGGAAACGACGGAAAGACAATCAAGACAAAAAAACATACAAAAAAGGACAAACAATGTAACCGGTCAATTGGTTTTTTTATTCGGTTTATAAAATGAACGGTTATTTTATCCCCGCCAACCCACGACTGGGCTTTCTTCCCTTCTGCTCTGGATGAAGTGGAAGGAAGGGGTAATGTCGAGGAGGGAGAGTAGGGGTGGGCTGCTGCATAGGAGTAGAAATGGAATGCAATTCTCATGATCACTTTATCTGCCTTTGCTATTTCCTCAGTGACTTGAGCTAGCGAGCTATGTGGGCAAGACGACACGGTCTAGGTATTGTGCCGCGATGTGCTAAATCTTCAAACGATGGCCTCCGGAGGGCGCATCGCCGGCACCGCGCCTGCAAGAATTGACCTTGCTACAATAATGGTGACAGACTACGGACTATTAATTTGTGATTGGCAATATGTTGCTTTTGAGTTTTCCACCGCCCATAGCTACTGGTGCTCATGTGTTAGTATAAATTAGTGTTAGGGTATTAGTGCGGTCCACCACTTCCCCCGGATCATGTGGCGATAAGATAGCGGGCTGACGGCCGTGGCGCGGTGAGGTGTCCTTTGTCGCGGCTCCGCTGGCCATAAAATTGTACCTAGCCGCAACACCGAATAGCTCATTCGCCCGAGCTTCAATTTACCACCCACCCAAACCTTGTCCACCACCTCACTCCGGTTTCGACTTCCGAAACACCGGCAAGAGCCTCAACTTACAATAACTCCCAAAAACACCACACTCGAGTCAGCTGCCACCATGTCGGACCTCGATCACTTTGACCTGGTTCCCATCGCCTTCAACAGCGAATCCCGAACCGTCTCGACGGGGCGGACCTCGCGCGCGCTCAACGCCGAGCTCGCGACGCTCAACGAGCTGCACCGGGCCATGCTGGCGCTGGACACGCCCGGGCAGGTACCGCCGCCGCCGATCCCCGTGAACCCGAAGCGCACGGCGCAGGTGACCAAGATGCGCGACAACGGCAACAACGAGTACCGCAAGCAAAAGTACGACGAGGCGGTCAAGATGTACTCGCTGGGCATCCAGATGGCGCTGGGGCGGCCGCAGTGGGAGCCGAGCGCGCTCGTGCGCGAGGAGGTCTCGGGCCTCCTGGCCAACCGCGCGCAGGCGCACATGGCGCTGCTCAACTGGCCCGAGGGCGCCGTCGACGGGCTGGCGAGCGTCGAGGCGCGGAGGGTCGGCAACGCCAAGGCGTGGTGGCGCAGAGGACGGTGCTTGTTCGAGATGGCCCGCCTGGAGGAGGCGAGGGAGTGGGTGAAGGAGGGGCTCGAGGTCGAGGGCGAGGAGGCGGACCTGGTGAGCCTGCTCAAGGAGATTGAGGCGAGAATTACGAAGCAAAAGGCGGCGCTGTAGGTGGCGAAGGATGGGCGTTGGAGCGCAGACGGATTGGGGGTATCATGACAGCAGATATCATAGTGGACGCCAGGGCGTCTTCTTTCATTTGTCTACGTATAGCGTTTCTTTTCCTCTAGTTCTGCAAAATAATAGAACCCGTATTTTCCCCAAACAGAATACAACATGTACTTAATACCTGGTGTAAGTCTTAAATAATAATATGAAGCTATTTTGAAGCACTGCTGCAGTTGTTGGTAGTTTCTGTGGTTTCGTGGTTGAGAAGACGTCGACGAGGTGATTTCCAGACGGAAATGAAGCGATGCCATGACCTTGTAACTCAATCGGTACATGATGCTCCTCGCTCGCCGTACCAATCCCATCAGTCATCTTCCTTCGTCTTGGCTCGAACACCACACTGGGGAGCGTCGTCACTGCGTCGGCTCATGAGGTGGACTGCAAAGTGGGATATGTTATAAGATAGAAATGCTCCTTTTCATAACATGTACGACCATAGCCGAGTGAAAAATCTGGATCCCGTCTGATCTCCGAACGACAACCGCTTGAGCGCCAGATTAGTAGTTGGGTCGGTGACGACCAGCGAACACCGGGTGTTGTACATTTTGTCTTTTTGACCCAATGCTTCAGGTTTTTTGCCAGTCTATTGCACTGGTAACAGAAATCTATGTTGTCAAGGTACGGAGCAACACCACAGCATGCTACAGTCGGTCTTGGCTCTGTGTAACGAGCTGTGTGGTATCTCAATTATTCCATTCATGACAAAACGGGTTTCTTGTTCCCTTGACTTTTACCACTGAGATGTAGCGAGCTCGATCTAGTTACCTACCTAGGTAGGTAGCTTGCGATGACCACGGGCCGTCACAAGTCCTAGAAGGCCCTCAAATCATCTTGCAACGGTCCTGTATTCCCGCCAGGGGTCTACACCGCGAGTATGATTACCCCGTACACATTTTACCCAGCGCGTACAGCATTGACTGGATTTGCGTACTCAAAAAGAGATGGCACCGTCAGAGGCCAGGTTGGACAGCGTACACTGGGGCCTGCTTAGGGCCCAAAACCACACCAACACTTACACGTTGGGGAGCATTCGGTACACACAAGGTTGTCTTGGCGTGTCTATCTTCAGGCTAATACGGCAGCAACAATGCGGCGAACGAAAGCATATATTATCTCGGCTGTGTGCTAAAGATCGCACGATGGTTCAAGCCCTGATGACGGAGGCGAGTACCGTTGACTACGCCATAAATACCCAGTTGGTGGTAGATGGGCACTGATGATTTCAACACCACATTTTGACAAAAAAAAACACCTTCTGCATGATACTTGGAGCGCCCAAACACTCGGATTAATGTTCCGCCTTCTGCCCCTCGCGATCGCGACGCAATCATCTTTCCGTTGCATCAGTCACGTTATCTTCAGCGTCGTACAGTCACGGGCTCCTCACCACTGCGTCAAAAGACATGCACGGATTGAAGAGAGAGCCAAACGATCATGTCGGCGCAGGGAATGCCACGGTGCACAAAACACCACACGGTCCCGTGGACGTATCAGACACAGCAAAGCCCGAGGGGGTGCCACGGTATCCCGAACAGGCGCAGACTGGGACCTCTGTGCAAACGCACCACCACGCACGCATCCACGAGCACGCAGACACGGAACCACAGAAACACCTGCGGCATCAAATGGGACGTGCAAGCCTGCAAGACGACGAACCAACATTTGGCACCAAGCGTTCGGCATCACAGGAACTGAGCGACATGGATGTAAAACGATTCAAGGCTGATCCGGACGAGGCCTCTGGACAAGAAGACGCACCACCCACACTTCCCTTTACTGTTCCCTTTCCAGACAAGGTCCGTATACTTGCTCTTGCTCCATTTTATACATGGCGCTGACCATTACCAAGCCCGCAGTGCTGGAAGAGCGAGCCGGCGACATTGAGTACCGGGTTGTGAACAATGACGGCAGCCGCGAGAGCACCATCACGCTCACCGGTCTCAAGTGTCTCTTCCAGAAGCAGCTCCCCAAGATGCCCAAAGACTACATTGCGCGTCTAGTGTACGACCGGAACCACCTGTCCATTGCCATCATCAAGTTGCCGCTCGAGGTGATTGGCGGCATCTGCTACCGGCCGTTTCACGCGCGCAAGTTTGCCGAGATTGTCTTTTGCGCCGTCTCGTCGGACCAGCAGGTCAAGGGGTACGGCGCGCACATCATGTCGCACCTCAAGGACTACGTGCGCGCCACCTCGCCCGTGATGCACTTTCTCACCTACGCCGACAACTACGCCACGGGCTACTTCCAGAAGCAGGGCTTCACCAAGGCCGTCTCGCTCGACAAGGCGCTCTGGATGGGCTACATCAAGGACTACGAGGGCGGCACGCTCATGCAGTGCAGCATGCTGCCGCGCGTCCGCTACCTCGAGGCCGGCCGCATGCTGCTCAAGCAAAAGGAGGCCGTGCTGGCCAAGATTCGCCCGCTCAGCCGCAGCCACATTGTGCACCCGCCGCCGCCGCAGTGGTCCGGCGCGGGAGGCGTCCACCCCATCGACCCGCTGTCGATTCCGGCCATTCGCGCCACGGGCTGGTGTCCGGCCATGGACGAGATGGCGCGCGCCCCGCGCCACGGGCCGCACTTTACCGAGCTCCGGCGCTTCCTGTACCAGATGCAGAACCACAAGCAGGCGTGGCCGTTCTTGCACCCGGTCAACCGGGATGAGGTCCCGGACTACTACACCGTCATCAAGGAGCCGATGGACCTGTCGACCATGGAGGAGCGCCTGACGCAGGATATGTATACCGGGCCGCAGGAGCTCGTCCGCGATATGAAGCTGATTTTTGACAATTGTCGCAAGTACAACGACGCCACGACGATATACAGCAAGTGCGCCGCCAAGCTGGAAAAGTACATGTGGACGCTGGTCAAGGAGGTGCCCGAGTGGCACAACCTGCTTGACGAGCAGGCGTCCTAGCTCTGCGGAGTGTGAGTGGGAGAAACCAGACGGCAGTGACACGTTGTCAAATAAATGAATAAACTGGGCCCATTGTTATATCAGATTAGCATATATGCAATTTTTTTATCATTTCATTTCTCATTCATGCTTTTTTTTTTCATTCTTCTCCAGTCTGCCACATCATGACCGTCGGGCCACAATCTCGGCGGCAACCTTGGCCGTGGCACGGACAATCAGCTCATGCTCGTGCCCGTGAATCTTGGCCTTGAGCGCGTCCAAGTCCTCGCCCTCCCAGGCAATCTCCTGCACGAGGATGGGCGCGCCGCGATCGACCTCGGCAATGACGTAGTGCGCCATGATGCCCGTGCGGGTGAGCGTGCCGGCCTCAAAGGCGGCAAAGGCGCGCTCAATGGCGTTGGCACCGTCAAACTCACCTGGATGGGAGAGTCAGCGCTCCGCATTTCAATAAAAGCAAGGAGATATATGAATGGGGAGGAGGAGGGTAGAAAGAAAAAAAAAAAAACGTACCAGGCATGGCCGGGTGCAGGTTGATGATGCGGATGCCCGCCTTGTCAATGGGGTCCAAAAAGGACGGCGAAAAGACGTACATCCAGCCGGCGAGCACAATCAGCTCGGGGCGCTGCTCCGGCGGCGCCGCGAGGATCTGGGCGGCGAGCGCGGCGTCGTACCGGCGACGGGCGTCTGCGATTTGGGCCTCGTCCGTCTCGCCTTTTTTCTGGAAGCCGTTGCTGATGAGGTTGAAGTATTCCCAAGGAATGCCTATTTTTTATTAATTTTTAATTTTCTTACTTCTTTAAAAAGACCCCGTAAGATATGGGGCAAAAAAAAAAATACACATACCGGCCTGGTCAGCACGGACGGTCGCGTGCGCGCTCTTGCGGTTCGTGATGAGCGAAATGATGCGGCTGTGTGGCAGGGAGCCGTTGGCGATGGCGTCAATCAGGGCTTGAAAGTTGGAGCCAAAGCCCGAGGCCATGACCGTGATGCGGCACGGCGCGCTTTCCGTCTCTGCCATTTTTTCTTCTTCTCAGATTTGATCTCACAGAAGAAAAATTACCACCAGAAAGAGTACAGTCCGTCTTGGAGGCGGCACCACATCAAAAAAGGTGGAAAATAGTTTGATGTTGGAGGCTTTTTGCGCGGCGTCACGTGACGGAACGGGTACGGACGGGTGGTATCGCGAGTTGCGGAAATATTGCCTGCGAGAGAGGTGGCTTGTTCGCTTTATTGGCAGGTGCATGCATGGCTTGGGTACTTTTGGGGGCTTTCTTTGAAAAGGCTGCTCTACGTTGCATGGCTATTGCCGGGAGTTGTACTGCCGGGTAGGGTGAGATGAGAGCTGTGATTTCTTCTCTCCGTGTTTTGACGATAAACGACAAAGGGCTGTAGAAAAATGGTATTCTATAAAATGATTTTCATCGTTTTCATCATGTTTTGTACTTGGTCTATATCTCAAGTTGTGCGAGTCGCGTGTGCCAGTTGCAGGACCTTGGTGAGTTTGTCACTTGTAAGTCGTGCTTGTTGACATGCGACTAAGTGAAGCTTGGGTAGTCTTGACCTCACCCATGTCAGCTCCAAGAATGGCTCCTCGCCATCCTCTCGTGATCCATCTGAATCATCTGATGATTCTTATTCATTTATTATTTTCCGCTGCATAGATATGCTTTTGGGCCCCGCTCGCCTGCACCAGGCGACGTTGTACGACACGAAAACAAAAAAAGCGAGGTGCCCAGTTTATTTGCTTCTTCCTCCCGACGCATGGCGCGAATTCAAATCAACCACTCCCGTCCGCCTGGATAGATCGGAACGATGCGAGGCTAACTAACAAAGGGGCTGGACCGGCCCAGACTACATGGCGATGACTTTTGCTTGTCTGAAGAGGGCGTTGCACAATAAGCGCCGGCCGAAAAAATGACTGTTTAAAGAAGATGAAAAAAAGTGTATTGTGATATCTGGATATTCCGACCCAACGCCTGTTCCGAACAGTAAAAAAAAGCAGTGCTGGTCATGCTGTGTGCAGCTTGTGCAATAGAACAAAAGCCCATTACGGCAGGGTGTGCGAGAAAAGAAGGAAAATCAGTACAGCAGCTCCCCGGGATCAATAGTCCATTCCTTCGTCAAGTCTCAAATTCATTCCAGGGCCAATCGGCCGGCTAATGTATCGTATGGTCGCAAAAGAGGTGAAGAGGCATCATGAAATAAGCCGCCCCCGGTAAAATCCACAAGAATTTTGACATGGAGGAGTGGCGAGTTGTTGTATGGGTTGAATTAAAGTGGCGCGTCGCCGACTGTGCATGACAAATTTCATATTTGGTGACTGGCGAGCCCATTGTTTGATTGGGTCAAGGCATCTTTGATGTCGTTTGTTTGACCGGCGGTTCGAATCATGGCGACCGTGACTGAGTCGTATTTTGGACTTATTGGACTGCTTAGGCCACCTTTTCCACGAGCTGCTGTTTTTCCGACAGGACAGGCTTCTTGGTACGCGGACGCATGACGGCGTCCTGGGAGCTCATGCGGCGGTCGAGGGCACGCTCAAGCTTGGCGCCGAGAGCGAGCTTGCGCAGGTTGTCCGTCTTTTCCTCGTCGAGGGCGACGCGCTGGGAGGAGAGAGCCTTGTTTTCCATGCGGTCGAGGCCCGAGGCGATGTCGCGGAACTCGGCCTGCGCCGAGTCGTTGGTGGCAAACGTCGGGGTGACGGAGGGCGTCACGCTGTAGGTGCTGTAGCGGACCGAGGTGCGAGCCTTTGGGGACATCATGTTAGAAGCCGAGAATTTCATCGACGTGCGTATTCGAGAAGGACGGCGTGAGCAGCAAGAGTGTGAGAAAGAAGCAGGAGAGACAAAGAAGAGGGGGGAATGGGTATATGAAGGTAGGTTGGTAGGTTGTGGTTTTGCTAGCGGCGCAAGGGTGGGTAGAATTGTCTTGATAGCGGGCTATCAAAAGGTGTTGGTACCCGGGCAAGCCGGGACAAGTATATAATAATAGCTGGGGGATGCAGTCTGGGCAGTGTTCAAGTGACGGAGAGAATGGCGAGTGAGACAGATGGACATGGCAGTCGAGAACGTGGCGACGCCGTCAGGGGGTCGACGTTTGCAGTATCTGGGCCGAGGCAGGAGGACATTTGATGGACATACCGAAGGGGCCATGATGGGGCGCGAGGATTCGATAGAGGCGGGCATGATTTATTGTGGTTGGGCGGAAATGCGAGCCTTGAATGAATAATGGCTAAAATGGACAAGACTTTGTCGCGACGAGAGAGCGAAAGAGGCGACAAGGGAAGAAAAAAAGAGGGGAGCAATGAATGAGCGACGAGACGCAAAACCGCGTCAGTCAGGGGTTGGCGGTTGGTGTGGTTGCGGCGCAGGTGGTTGGAATGCGGTTGTGTTTCGAGTCGGTGATGGAGGACGAGGACGAGAAAAAAGCACAGAGTATTGGGAGAAAGATGGACGTGGGAAAAGAGAGGAGAGAGGAGAGACGGTGAGAAGCAAAGTCTCGGGCAGGCGAACAAGTGCAAAGACGTTGGGAGAAAATGGCGGCAAAACGGTTCATAATAAGACGTAAATTAGTACGAATTAGCGTGAGTAATGTGACGACAGTGGGCTGGGGCGCTGCATGTGAGATTTTCTGCTTCCACATGGATGAGGAAAGAAGAAAGACAAAAGAGGGACGAGATCGACGCTGTATTACTTTGTTTGGAGTACGGAGTACGGAGTACTGGTACTGATAAAAAAAGCGAGGCCTTGCACTATCCGCATCACAAGGCAGTGGAGGCTATTGACAGGCCTAGCCGTGGTGTTTGCAGGGGCACAAACGGGCGGATGTTGCAGGTACCCGTCAAGAACGGAACAGGGTGAAGTTCAAAGTAACAATAATGGCATTTTCTATTGACTATCCGTAGGTACAACATGATTGTTCGAACTGACTTATCAGAAACTTAAACCCGTCATACCTCCTCTCGGCCAATGCCTTCTGCCTGCCGACAGAAGCAAGTGACTGAAGCCAAGCCCATCTGCAAACTGTGCCGACGGTTGCATTTTTAGTGGGCTCGCCGCAAACTACAGGCGGCCCAGGGGCACATGAACTCAGGAACTCCAGGCACCACCAAATAGTATCCCTGTTTGCCACGCTACATTTTGTAGCATTCCAAAGGGGGCCGTTTCCGGAATGCCATTTGGCTCCTGACCATGACCAGAAGCGATTACCAATATTTGACCAATCGAGACCCAATCGAGCGTTGCATCGCGACTGGGCGCCTCATCGCTATCCGACGCTGATGCGCGTGTGGCGGCCGGCCACATGCCCCCATCATCACCCCACGTCCGCACACCCTCACCCAACGCCTCCGACACAGCATCCTCGCCACACAAGTCATTTCTGCAGATCATATTCCTGCTTTGGCCGCCGCTGCCCGCTGGGCGCAAACACGACGGGCCGTTGATTAGCCAAAACCTTGCCTTGGTCCCGCATTCCAGCCACGCACAGCTAGTATTACCGACTAAGGACTTCAGCACCAAAGTCGACCCGACCCAAGACAACTGACGCCAGCGGACAAAAGAAGAATCAAAGACAATATATCCGTGGACAAAAGGCAATAACTAGTCGAAATGCTTCCTGAAACACTCCCGCGTGGTATTCGCTGCAACTTTCGCTTCACTTAGCCAGCCCGCGACCCTGCCAACTCCGTACGGTGTCATGCAACCCTGGCGTCTTGGCATCGCATGTACTTGATACAAGCAGTCACCCGCCTGCTGGTCCTGGCTTCTCTTCAAACGACTCAAGAAGACGACTGCGTTTTTGCTTTTCTCGCCGCTGGACCTGCAAGCCTCGGCCCCTGCGTTAGCCGTTTTCCAAAGAAGAAAAAAAAAAGGGCCAAGATTTGATGAGACCTCGGTCTCCAGCATTCACGGTTGACACGGCTTAACGACAGGATGATCTTTCATCCTCGTCCACTTGCAAGTTGGCCATCGACATGGCTCGGCAAACGAACTCTAGCGCATCGGGCGCGCATGGCGCGCGCCGACACTGGATGGACCCTTTTCCCAGTGCGCAGCATCCACGCCACCACGCCAGATTAGCTTCGACAACTCGCACCAAAAAAACGTTCATGCAGCCGCTGTTGCATGACTCTGCGCAAATCGCCCGGAAATGACAGTCTCCATGCGTGTTTGCTGCGCACGGCCGCTTCCATCATCCACCACCCCAGGCCGTCACCAATCCATGCAGCAGGCATTGCCCATGTAATAACACCAGAGCCAATGCGGGAATTCGGCCGGGTTTCTCCCACGAATGGCCATGTACGCAGCCTCGCGGTTGGTTGGTTGACAACATTCCGCACACGAGACAATTGCTTGTCGCTCGTCATCAAACCCGCAAGACCATGCCCGTGCCCTGGCCACCGGCTCGGCAGATGGTTTCACGACGTGAGGTTTGTCCAACGTGCGGAAGGTTCGTAACTCACTAGTTACGTTACTGATAGTCTGATACGGATGCAGTCGTCTTGTTTCGTCACTGCACGTGGTTACTCTTCTATCGCGATGCAGCCTGGGAGACAATCTCGGCATGCAAAGCAAACTGACCGATCTACACAAACCGGCCCGGCTTGAACTCCTTTGGCCTTCAATGCATCTGCCATCTTGAAGGTCGTCCCAGGGCGTTAGTCATCTCGCTCTACCGACCAACTCCTACACAACGTTTCAGAACACCGGAGAGGTTCCGTAACTACACATTTCGGTGCCTTCGGATTAATTAATCGTCCAATGTCCCCCATGTCGCCAACCGCATCCATTCCAAGTCTAGTTACGCGGAGACTTCCGCTTCGGGGTGACACAAGGCTGAGGCTGTGTTGAATCTGTGATCAGTCTTCGCCGCCATTTTGACTCTCCTCAAACTGGAACTTCTGTCACCAACGGAGACAACCCAATAGGGCCAGAAGCGGCGCCAAAGCCCGTAGCACAGCCAACGGATGAAGTGCCGGCCCCGCCTCCATCAAGCTACAACCAACTTCCTGCTTGGCATGCCATGTCTCAGCAGTTCGCCGCAGCGAGTTGCGGACATGACAAAATCACACCCTTGAGAGTGAGATAATGTCACAGTCGCTTTGACTCATATGAAGACACTCTACCTACGCCCGGCGACGGCCGCTCCGTTGTCAGTATCAGTTGTTTTGTCCAACAACCGTGTCTAGACCGGCAACTACGAACCTGTGCCCGCCAGATACTTGAAGTCACACACCCAACATCAATCTTGTTCTGTTCGTGAAATTTGGTGTCTGAACTGGGCACCTTCGACGCTCGGTCGTCAAGCGTCTACGTTGGGCTAGCACAAGGTCCGACAATAGCGACAAGATTCATGACTCAAACGAAACAAAAAAGAGGCCAGACATATCTCCTGTCCAAGTTTCTTCCACGACAAGTTCGCTTCGTTGCCGTGTTGAACTCGACCGGCCAAGACGAGTTAGCAACCTGGAGGCACCACGACTTGGCGAGAAGCGGTGCGGTTCGGCTGCGGTTCGGCAGAGAGATGTGCACTGTCTTGCTTGACTGACCTACCGTTAGCGAATGCTTTTCGCCCGGTGATTTGTGGAGATAATTAGGAAGAAGAGGAGAAAAACAAATGCATTGACGGTTGCCAGAACAGGCCAGTAACACAGGCGCCGTCTGTCCGGACCTCGCCGTCATGTAGATTGTACTTGGTAAGGGCAAAAAGAGGCAGGCCGAGCAAGATACACACACAAGAGGCGGCCAAAGCCGCACTCATTTCCTCGTCAGAGACACTGGAAAGAGCCGCAGTACCGAATCTTGTTCTACTCTGGCTCGTTGGCGTGTGGCCGTTCGCTTGCAGCCGAGAAGATCCTTGACGCTGAATCGACTTTCCCCCTTGCTGGCTGGAAAGCAGTTAAAACGCCAAGAGCGACAATCACGATGTATCCCCCAGACTGTGAAACATGGAATATACTAGTACAGACTGAAACAGAGTTTCCAGCTTGACTCATGAAATCGCGGTGAAGAGTGGCGTTATCTCAACAAGTCACACCTTGGAGACATGCGCCTGACACGATGTTCAAAATCTTTGTAAAACCGACGGCATCTCTAATCGTAAACACTCGACTGCTCGCGGCCACCCATCTTACACATGACGTCCAATATCTCAATATCAGGGCACGCCTCTGGTCAGAGAGGCAGGGATGGGACGAATCAGGGCGGGGCATACTGCCAACCTTGAATGATGCTAATTCTGTCTACTAATGACTTCTCGATATGTAGTGTCGAGCCTTATGCTGGCATGTTGCATTCGTGGCTTGTAGCCGATTGGGCTCTGAGCTATTCTCCAAGAGCCATTCCCTGAGACGCAGTAAGTACAGTGTGTTCATTGCCAGTTCTATCTGACGCTCGATGCACGGTGCCGCATGCCTGTGGGCCTTTTGTGTGTTTCGACATCTTTGGTCGCCATGGGTTCAACCCAGAGCTGGCCCAAATACGTCGTCGCCAGCCTCGAGCTTTCGACGCTTCGCATCACGAGATTGGGCATCTGTTGCGAGGACGCCATCAACGGGCGCGCTGGGCTTCTTCGCTTTAGTAGAGGCCTGTTCGCGGCGCGCCTGCTGAAGCGCCACAAGATTCGCTCGATCGGGGTCTCGGCATTTTTGCAGCTTTTTTCGCAACGGCTTCATGATTTTAACAGTTTCAGGCTAAAAAAGTTAGAAAAACGAAACAGCACGACGTTGCTTAGTGTAGCGTACCGTTCCCCAATAGTCTGTCATGCGTTCAGGAGGCTCTTGTTCGAGCATTTTCCGGCACGCCTCCAACGCTGTGAATATCCTATTCCGCAGCGCTGTTTGTACTGCAGGATTCTCGTCGGAGGGTTCGGGCAAAGGGACCAGCGTGTCAACAAGCTCGGCGTCGGTCATTAAGAGCGCGGCCATCATAATTTGGCTAGGCGCGTAGTGAAAGTAGACATCGGTGACGAGGGCGCTAAACTTGAGAATCTCGCGCGCCCGCATATGCGCCGTGTTGATCCTGTTCTGCTCCGTCGGGCGCTTCCGGCGCAGTTCGAGAATGGCGCCCTCGAGGGCTCGCAGGGGGTGTCTGACGTCAAAGGCAAAGCGGATGCCCTGGCAGAGCAAAAACTCGCCGGCCAGTATCTGCTCGCTCGTCGTGTTGGGAAACTTGTCGGCCAGGCGGGCGAGGCGGATGTAGAAGCCCTCGGCCTTGCATCCGAAAAAGAGCGACGTCTTGAGCAGCTCCGTGGGCGGGTACGTCATGACTGAGTTGGTCACGTAGAAGCGGCGCAGAAAGATGGCGGCCGTGGACCGGATCTCGGTCGGGAGCTCGCAGAATTGGGCGGCGCGGATGAGCTCAATGGTGAAGAACTTGACGAGGCGCACCTCCTCGTCGGGGGTGAGAAAGTCGGGGGGCGGGTCGGCGTGCAATCGCGCCGCGATCTGCTGCTTGGCGAGGGCATTGGTCTTTTGGCGAAGCTGGTCGAGGCCGCTCTGGGAGAAGGACCAGAGGCGGAATTGGCTCGACTGCCGATAACGCTCGTCTTCGGTGGCCATGTCAATGGCCGTGTGCCGAGAGGCGATGGCGATGCGGAGGGCGAGGGCTGGATTTGCGTGGTGTGAAGGGGAGAAGCTGTTGATGTTTGATGTGAAATCGCGAGCTGTGGTGGGCTGGCAGGTGGCGGACGCTGTCACTGTCGCGCTTGCCTTGTACGTGCAGAGACCGGCTGTGGCGTCTACTGCACTACTCTTTTCTATGCGGAATTAAATAACTGCACCAAGCCAATCTCATACGCAATGAACAGGGAGGCTTTCGTTTTTTTCGCTCTTTGTTTTTTTCTCTTTTTTTTTTTTGCATCCTTCAAACTTCCGTTTGCTAGAGTGACACAGCCAACACTGCTACAAAGCCAGCGATTCTGGCGTCAACTGCGGTACATCTGCGGCACTCCTTTTTATACGAAGGTCAATCACTGTGTCAAGCCAACGATTCATCACGTAATAAAGACGCATGCTTTTCTATATAATCAAAATTCTATCTGCTAGAGTGACAAAGCCAACAGTGCTGGATTCAGATGCCAAGCACCAATGTGCCCAGGCTGTATCTAATATCGTGTCTTTTGGACAACCAACATGTATTGACAAATAAATTAAACAATAAAGAAGGATATGTAGGTAATAAAAAGCGACCAAAACTCGGACATGACTCTGTGATATGATGGTCGCACTGGACAATCACACAACCCACGTATACAAGCACACAAGTACACTAGTACACGAGAGCTTACTCCTCAGCCTCGCGGTTGATGACGAAGCGCTTCTTCAAGCGGTAGGCAATGGCGCGCTTGCGGGCGTTCTCGCTCTGGACAAAGGCGGCGGAACCGCCAAAGGGACCGGCAAGGGCCTGGTTGCGAACACGGACGACGCAGACGTTCTTGACGCCGGCAATCTCGCCCTCGCAGGTCATGCCAGCGGGCATCTTGACGGTGATGGGGAAGTCGGTGTTGGTGGCAATGGAGAGACCAGAGATGCCGACACCGGGCATGTTGAGGGGCAGGGTGGCGCTCTTGAACGCAGCACCGTCCTTGCCGCCCGAGGTGGCGTCAACGGCGGCCGTGAGAGGGCCAGCACCGTCCTGGTTGATCTGTGCGGGCAGGTTAGAGCAGTTCTTGAACAGTGGGAACAGACCGGGGGGCAAAAAAGAAATAAAAAGAGAAACTCACCTGGCGGTAAATCAGGCTAACCTCGCCGTTGTCGTTGCTGGTGGGCATGCCCTTCTGGGCACCCTGGCCGGCCATGTCGCCGACAATGGTCTCGACGGGGTAGTCGTTGGTCTTGCCGCCGAGGCCGAGGACGCCGACGACGGGCAGGTTGAAGAGGCCGCTGAAGATGCCGCGCATCTCGTTGAGGTGCTCCTCGCGGCGCTGGGTGCGCTGCTGGGTGAGGATGTTGGCGGGGATGGCGTCCTCGACGCCGGTCGCGCCCGACGCGCCCTTGTTGGTGGGCACGTCGTTGCCGCGGCCCATGAAGGAGGCGACGACCTTGGCCGGGTCAGTGTCGCCGTGGCCCTGGGTCCAGCCGATCGGGCTCCTGCCAGCGGCGATCTCGGCGTCGCGGATGATGCCCGTATCGGCCTGCGAGCCGCACGCGTTGGCGGCGCAGTTGCGCGGCGTGCCATCAGCAACTGGAGGATACTGTTAGCTCTCTCGACAAGGTGGAATCCGGGCAAGACTCTTTGTGTGTGTGTGTAAAACGAACCTCCAAGACCGGGCATGGAAACACCGTTGGCGCCGACAATGTTGCGGATGATGCCGTGGGCCGAAGCACCGGCGGCGAGGGTGGTGAAGACGATGGAGTAGCGCATCTTGTACAGAGTCGGATTGCAATGTAAATGGAGAAATGAGAGAAAGAGTTGAAATTAGACTGTCTCCTGGACAAGAAGGGAATAAAGAAAAAATACGTGTAAACGACGGGAATTAGAGGTGAGTTGGGCGGTGTATCGGGTAATCAGCCAAGTCGTGGGAGCGCAGCGCTTCTAATATATTCCAGTTGGACTCGGACCGTCGACCATTTGACAACCACGGGCCTGCGACCAAACTCAAAACAGCTTCTTCCTTGCAGGATTTTTGGCCTGTGACACAATCAGCCGACAAGCTGCTGTCCCTGCGCAAGGCCCGGAAGGCTTGGGGATTCGCCAAGGTACCGGCCATGGGGCTCTCAGCCTTGGAGCGCGGACTCGCAAATGACGGTAATGAAAAAAAAAGTATATGCGTCCTGGCCTGAAATCGCCGTGCCTGAAACGCTGTTGGGCGATCTGAGCGTTCGGGGTGGAGCGGCGCCGTCGCGCGGGGCGGGGGAGGCGGAGCATCGTACGGAGGAGCTTCAGTATCCAAATTTGGCAAACAACGAGCCAAGAAGGTTTTCCCGTTGGACGAGCACAAGAGTCTTCTACCGTACGCCGCTAGGACGCTTTTGCTGGGTTCCTTTGTTCAGCCCTGAGAACCAGTTTGTTCGCCCGCTGCGGCCTCCGGCAACCGTCGGCGCCGCCGGAACGGGGGGAACGGGACCTTTTGCTGCAATGGAAAGCTGACGGTGGGCTTTTCAGCTTCCGAGCGGCCGTTCATGCGCAAGAGCTTTGATGGTGTTGAAGAGCAAAGACCTCGGCAGAAACCCAACATGAACCTGCAGGATACGGCAATGTCGATAACCAAAACGTCATCATGCAACAAAAGCAACACGGCGCGGCATTGGAAAGGGGTTGTTGTGTCCGGGGCTAGCCTTCGACGATGACGCCAATGCAACGTCCAACGCTAGAATACCAAGAGAATCATATAAAAAAGTCCCGGCAGGTTTGAGATGGCTAAAAAAAGACCAGCTGGAAACAATTGTGCATGAAAGCCGAAACATGGGATCCCCCGGCTGATATGCGACCCCCCTTCTTGTTAGGGGGTCTCGCCGCACCCTGCATGGCTGGGCACGTGTTTATTACTCTATCTGGTTGCGGACAAGGATAAGATGGGATGTAGGCGAACGGAAACAGTGGGCAGGGACCCAAAATTCAAGGAACAGAGAGTTTCTGAGACGCTCGATTCCATCGATTCCCTACCTAGCTTTGTTTTAGTCGCCTAACAGCCTACGGGATAAACAACCTACCTCGCATCTCGCCAAAACTCTCTTTGCAAAGGGCTCCCCTTCTGATCTTCACTTTTGAGTCTCTTGCCTTTCCAGCCGGCAGTGGCTTTCACCGGACTTGTTGCTTTACCAAAACTCTAATACGATGGCCCGGACATTTTTAGCTGAGCACTTGCTCGGTTACTTGGGTCGCGAATGCGAACAGGGGGGAAGGGGCCCTTTGCGGATCGAGTTTTGCATGAATGCACGGTCATTTGCCACTTTTATAGCCCAGCCCAAAAGGTTGGTTCTTGTTTTTCTCACTAACAAGGATTAATCGACGGATAGGTTCAAGCCAATTCATAAAGGCTAAAAAAGGCATTGGTTCGGCAAATCCCACCTTTCTGGCGGTGGGCTTGGGGGCGCATTCTCCGTTTCGCACCCCTACTAACCCTGGTGTGATGTAAAATAAAAACAATTAAAAAAAGTGACTGAGCGTTTGTCGTGACTTCGCAACCTGAATAAGTCACCGTTCCTGATACAATCGTCTGAGCGTTTCTGCGGCGCACGCCTGTCTGCTGGGGGGCGCGCAGCCAACACCAGCCAATACCATCACAACCCTCGTCCCTTCTACCACCCGATTAGGCAGCGCTCAAGCCCCAAGTCTCGGTCATCGGGTCTGAGTGTTTTGTGTTATACTTTTTTTCTGCCTGGTTGCTCGTTGTCGTGCTTTTTTGCCCAACGTTTCTTGGCGTTTTCATGGGACCGGCGCGCCTCATGGGCCGAGTGGACTTGTGACTGCCCTTGTTAGAGAATACTTAAACTTGGGCTCTTCGCTCGTGTAAACCAAATCCCCATCTCATCCAGCAAGCCTCTTCAGCCCTATCACTTCCTGTTCCTTTTTTCCATTCATTCTTTTTTCTTCTCTTCTTAAGAAATAACTCTTTTACCATCTTTCAAAATGAGAACCTCTGCCATCATCACCACCATCCTCGCCGCTGGCTCGGCCGTCTTCGCCGCTCCCGCCGCCCCTGCCGATAAGCGTGAGATGAACTTTGGCGGTGTCGCTGGTCCTCTCGGCACCCTTCTCGGCGGCTCTGCTGCCGCCCCCGTCGGCGCCTCCGGCCAGAACGCCCTCGCCGCCCTCTTCAAGGCCGGTGACGAGATCCTCAACATCCCCGGCGACACCATCCGCAAGGCCATCGAGGGCAACCCCGCCGGTGCCGCCACCGGCCTGCTCCAGGCCCTCATCAAGGCTGCCTCGGACCTCCCCAAGGACGCCATGGGCCTCATCACCCCTATTACCCAGGCCGCCACCCCCAAGTCCTCTTAAACGGAGTGCTTGCATGCTTCATTCTCTCCTTTTCTATAGCAGGAAGATATCGGGCTAGGTATGTGGCCATTACTCTCCATTTCTCACCACGAGTTGTCAGCTAACCAAGCCCCAGATGTCCTTCTTACGCGCAGCAGTCATGTACAGCGCCAACTGCCTTGAGAGTGCTGTCAGCCTCTTCTGACAGCATTTTGTTTCCTGATAATGTTTATATTGATAATCAATCTACTTAGAATTTGACTTTTATTACCATCATTTCTTTCCACACGTGCATGAATTGACCTGGTCATCTAGTTGTTGTTCAGGCATGTGATTGTAGTTCAGGTTGTAGTTCAGGTTGTAGTTCAGGTTGTAGTTCAGGTGCATTGTGTGTACATTGGAAACCTTGTTGGTGCGTTTGTAGTTCAACATGACGAGACCTCCACATGCACGTAATAATGAAAAACAGGCCGCGACTACCCACAAGAGGAAGCTGCCAGACGATCAAACCAAATGAGGTCTCGTATCGCGGGCTCAAGATCCAGCCCCAGCCGCACGACCCTGCCGTCCTGGAAAATAAACTTTGCATCCACGGGCTCACTGCCACCTTCCACGGCATCACTCAGGTACGCAATACCCCTTGACTGGTCCTCGAAGTGCTCAAAGGTGAGAGTAAACCCCATCGACCGATCGGTCGCGTCAACAAACAGCCTGCCGTCTCTCACAATCACGGTGAGTACGTGGTAGCCTGGGTTACTATACTTTCCAATGTACGCTTTCAGTGCTGTTTCCGGCAGTTTTCCTATGGAACATCTCGAATTAGCTGATCCTTTCTTTGTTGATAGCCTGTAATTTGCCATTGTGCAGCAATACCTGTTCTATCATCTTCGGTCTTGACGAATCCGCCGCGGCCGGTGGGTGCGGCTTCCGCAAGCGACGTCTGAGCGTTGCGTGGAGAATGCTTTGTTCGTACAGGGATGGACTTCTTCGTCCTGACCTTTTTCTTCTTCAGCAAATGCCGCTCCGAGTCGGGGACATGCAAAGCGTCATCCGTTAATACGCGGATCATTGAGCTGCAGACTGCGCCCGCCCCTGCCGAATTACCCATGACCACAATACCGAATGGCAAGCCAGGCAAGAAGACAAATCGACTCGCGAAACCCGTAATGTGACCATCGTGTCCAATCACTTCATGTCCACGGTAGTAGTAGACTTCCATGCCAGCTGCGTACAGGGCAGGCGAGGAGTGCGGCTTGAGTCGCCGTCCGGTCGGGTTCACAATGGATCGCATCCGGACCAAGCCCTGATACACCTGCTCAGTCACCGGAAAAGTCCGCATCATCAATGCTTGCACCCATTTGATGAAGTCGTCGACTGAGGATATGATGGAGCCTGCACCTTGCCCCTCGGGACAAGTGCGGCACTCGAGCGCTCGGTAGGTTTCGCTGGCCTTGTCCCAGATATGACCCTGAGCAAATCGATGGCCAAGTCCCCGTTCTCGAGCACGGTCTGGCTGGAGAGTGGTCGATTCCATGCCCAAGGGCTCGAAAATGCGCTGCTCAAGAAATTCGGCAAAGGACTGCCCGCTCTCCACTTGGACGAGATGTGTCGCGACAGTGTACATCATGTTGCAATAGAGATATCTGGAGCGGAGCGGCGCAGCAACAGCGAGATTACGAAGATTTCTCGTGATGGAACGAGGAGTGTCGGGCTCTGCGGCGCCGAGTCCCATGTATGAATCGTCATGACTGGATTGCCTTGGCATAAGCACGAGAACGAAAGAGTTGCCCCAAACGCTTACCCTGCCATTCCTGTCCTGTGACTCAGCAAGTCGTCTATAGTAGCGCCTCTTGTATGCTCCGCGCTGGACATGACAAAATCATCTGGCAACAGTGACGACATTGGCGTGTCGTACTGGACGTGTGCGTGGTTTTCATTGTCCGCGACCAGCAGGGCCACGGCAGCAGCAGTCAAGGACTTTGCCAACGAAGCAACATCAAAGAGCGTTTCTGGGGTGCAAGGCTCGTTCCTCGCCATCGAAGCATATCCGAATCCTCTCGCCACGGCTGGTCCGTTTCCGCGAACAATAGCGACGGAGACGCCGGGAACATGGTGGTCCAGCATGAGTGCCTCGACGTGGTCCGCAAATGCATAGCTCCGGAAAAAGTCCATTTTTGGAACCGAGGGCGCTTTGTTTTATTCGAATGGCTAATAATAATGGTTATGTACGAGGCAGAGTTTAGCTCGCGATATCTGGCTCGAATTGGGAGCCTGCTTGTACTTCGGCTGTGGACACGATAGGTTAGTCGGGGAAAGGGCCAGACATAGAAGTCTATACTCTACTACTATTATGATGGTTAAACTAGGGAAAGGAATAAGGGGAATTAGAATAAGTATAAGTAAGATAAGTAAGAAAAGAGGGATAATAAAAACTAGGAAAACTAGAAAGAGAAAGAAGTTAATAAATAATAAGAAAATAGTAAGAATAAGGAAGAGGTTAGTAGGTATTCCTATCTGGCGGGTTATTTTGTCTCCCGGGTGGGAGCTACCTGTGAGCGTGGCCGTCGGAGATCTGTCCTCGGGCAGCACTGGTCTATGGTTAGCTTCTTGTGGCCAGGCCGAATCTAGCGGACCTGTGGTTGAACTGCTAACTGGGACCGATCGAGGGCAGCGACGCCGAGGGTAATGTCGTAATATCACCGATTGACTGTTGTTTGTCAGATGCAGAGACAGGATTCCTCGTGACCCGGCATCTTGGCCCCAGGTTGGTCCACTGTAAGCGCGGAATTTCCAGGTACTGGTCCACTGTAAGCGCCTGTATGTTTTGCCATGTCTCTAAGACGCAGACGTGGTCATCGTGGACCCCAAGGGAAGAGGGTAAATAAATAAAAAGAAACCAGGAGAAATGCCAATACTTGGACATTATTAGTAGGAAAAAATTGACATTTAGTATATACTAGCAAGTGTTACTAGCTGGCTCCGCGTCCAATCGACAGCCCTGCTTGCTTACACAATCGTCCTGGCTCTTAGCACACCGCAGATGAATGGCTTTGAACTTGTTACCATCAGACCACAGCCCACGGCAGGTGCCCTTATCGGCGTAGCCAAAGCCAAACCATTTTCCGGTACAGCCAGGCTGCTCCCAGTAGCTCAGCTGTATATCGCCATCTGGGCAGAGCCCATCAGCGTCGACCTCGAGGGACCCGACGCGGCAGTCGGTATTCATACAGTAGCCCTCGCCGACGCGGACGGCGACGTTGTTGTGGATGTCGCCTGAGCAGCCTACGTGGTAACGTGTCTTGAGCGAGAACGCAGCAACGCCGACGCAGGCATAAGCCTCAGCCCACAGACCCTCGCACTGCTGTCCAACCTGGGGGTTCCATGTGGCAAAGTCTTGCTCCGAGATGCCGTTATACGCGGTGATCTGGCCGCAGTAGTTGCCCTTGCTAATATAGTAGAACTTGACGCAGTTGCTTACCATGCCTAGCTGCATAGGCTATAGCGTAGGAATAAATACTATCATAAGTAAGGAGCAAGGTTATATTAAAGTTATTAAGATAATAGTAATACTACTAATAATATTATAATCTTATTTATCTTATTTATTTTATTTATCTTATTTATTCTATTTATCTTATTTATTTTATTTATTTATCTTATTTATTTATCTTATTTATCTTATTTATCTTATATATCTTATATATCTTATATATCTTATTTATCTTATTTATATAGTTCTAGCTAGTACCTTTTACCCTCGCTACTATATAAGTTATAGCTAGAGCTTAAAAACTTAGCATCTGGTTATAAATGTATTGGTGACCCAGCTGCGAAAGGTGGTGTCAATCCAGGTGCTGAGCAACCTCAGCACGGCAAGCAGGGCGTAGATTCTTGTGAGGTGATCAGTCATGCCAATCTGTAGAGGACCACGAATCTCAATCCGATCAAGGCAGTCGATAGCAAAGTAGAGAGACCACTGGTGGTCACAGACGAGGATAAGGGGTAATGTAGGCAGCCGGTCAATACCGAGCATTTCCATACGCTTATACCAGGAAGCAGTCCATATGCCCAAATGCAGGCGGCCCTCCTCGGGGCTAGCCCCCGCAACCTTGGTCTCGATCGATACAGCCAAGGGAGAGCGCATGAGGGGGGTATAATCGGTTTGATTGACGAAGAGCTGGGCCGAAGCAAGCGTCGAGGACGTGCTCTGCCTAGAAAGCTCAATCAGCCTGTTCTGAATGGCCGAGTCGAGATCTGCGCTAAGCCTAGGTGCAAGAACAAAGTCCACCATCTTGCCTTCCGACACCTCTCTAGTAATGAGAGATGGACGGAAGGATGGCAGAATCCTAGCTGATGTCGCATACTCGTAAAAGACAGACCCATGCTGTCTCGACAGGGCGAGCTTCAGTAGAGGCCCGTGAACAAGTGCATTCCACGCCGCCTCGGAGCGACGGAGAGCTAGACACTCCTTTGCGAGGCTCTCGATGGTGCGTAGCTGGTATAACTCGGCAAGAGCGAAGCGAGCTGGAAGAGTGGTGGTCTCTAGTCTGTCAGCAAACAGAGGCGAGAGGGGAAGGAAGTTGAAGAAAGGGCCATCGGTTTTACCTGTCCCTTGCGCCAACCGCTCCCTGTTATGATCGGTTTCTTTCTCAAGTTTCCGGTAAGCACAGTCTGGGGGCGGACGAAGCGTCAACAGAGATTCAATCTGCGCACGTATCTCAGCGGGGTAGATGTCTATCCGGTCTATTGTAACGGCCAAAATGTTGTTATGAAGCTGCCGCACGTCTTTGGGAAGTTCCTCGAAGTCAGGATCGTCGTCGTCGATGGGACGATAGAGGACGGGCTTGTCAAGCCGCTGCAGCCGGGGGGATACGAAGGATGCGACGGAAGAATGGCCGATGGAGGCTGGGTGGATTGAGCCGGGTCTCATGACCAAGGACGGTAAAAATGGCTGAGGACTGAGGGCGATGCCGGATCTGCTGATGGTGCTGCCGCCGTTGTCCTCGTCTGCATCTTTATCCATCTTTCGCTTGGAGGGCGACTGACTCCTCTCCGTCTGCAAGCATGAACGCGGCGGGGTGACCATATTGGGCTCTCGAGGGCGCTTCAAGCTTCGCTTTGCATCTGGCAGCCCAGAAAGCCAGAGATGGACGGCAGAGCTGCCAGACATGGTTTCAGCGATTTGAGGCTGGTTTGATTAACTACCTAGGCAGTAACAGCGGGTTGCCGCCCGATGTCGATAAATGAGAAGGAATTAAGTCAAGGCTGTTATTTTAACAAGAATAATTAGTCAATCAATAATAAACTAAACTTAATTAGTATAGACCTAGGTAGCTACTTTACTAAGTTTTATAGAATAAATACTAGTATTAATTCTTAGTAAGTATTAACTATATTTATTAAGAAAACTATTATAATAAAGCTAATAATATTTCTTATATTTCTTATATTATTTATATTATTTATATTATTTAGCTTATTTAGCTTATTTAGATTATTTAGATTATTTAGATTATTTAGAGTATTTAGATTATTTAGAGTATTTAGATTATTTAGATTATTTGGATTATTTAGATTATTTAGATTACTTAGATTATTTAAATTATTTAAATTATTTAAATTATTTAGATTATTAGTATTTAAATTATTACTTTAAAGGTTATTTACTTAAGACTATTAATAAAGCTATTCATAGTATTAATAATAGGAAAATACTTAAATAGGCTATCTTAAGATTAAGCTATTAGTATTAATAGTAGTTATTTAAGGACTAGTAGTACTTCTACTATCTAGTTAGCTAGAAATTTGATTAGTAGGATGCTAGTTAAGACTAGTATCTACCTTAGCCTATAAATATCTAATTAGGTTTAGCTTATTATCGATTAACTAATTCTTATTGTAAATATCAGCCTTTAATAAATGGCCCGAAATTTACAAGATTAGAACTATAGTTGGAGGCAACCTAATCCATGTCGCCTTCAACTTTCCTAACCTAAAGACTGTCTTTGGCAAGAAGGACGTGCCGAACCCGAAGGAAGTCATTGATAAGGGCCGCGAAAGCTGCAGAGTATTATACTGGCTATTGAGGCTGTACTAGACAACATTAGCAAGGGCGAGTACCTCGCGGTCGTCATGGCGCAGCAGTCGGTAATTAACATGCAAGTGGCTAAAGATATTGGTTAAAGAAATTGACGACGAGAAGAGGAAGAATTTTGTTCTCCTCATCATATCCGCCATTTTGTTCTTCCTCCCGTTTATTGGCGAGGCGGCCGGTACTAGTGGGCTGCTCGCCGGCGCGCTTCCTTGTCTCCTGAGCGACCTGGGCTTTGTCGGTAGGGACATTTACTTTTTTACGGTAGACAGCAAGGGCAGCGATCTTTCTACTATTGTAGACCTGATTTTTGCACCCTTGGCTTTCTTCGACGCTGCGCGGATGGCGGCCGCCGGGGAGCTTCGCCGGGATATGAAGGACGCCCATGTCGAGAGCCTCGGCAACGAGGCCGAGGCTATACTCGACATAATTGGCACCAAGTAAAGGCAGATGTGCTTGATCGGAGGCAAGAGGCATATGCTGATGGAGCTGCCTAGGGATGGTTGGTCCCTGCTTGAGTGGTGAGCCCGTCCATGTAGAGATGTAGATAGCCCTAGCCCTATAGTGCTTCGGGATAAGTAAGTGGGCATTTTATTAGCTGGGATGGAGGAAATGGTCAATATCAAAATAAATTGTATCTTTCCCCCTTTCTGAGAGTGATGCAAACATACAAGTCGGCAGACCTAGTTGCAGCACTGCACTATGGCTGGTTTCTCAGACCTTCCAGCCGAAATTCGCCTCCTGATATGGTCCCTGATCATCCCCAATGTCAAGGAAGAGGTTTGCCTCCTCTGGCCTGGCCACAGTCCCGGTAGAGTAGGTGAGGGGGAGTCACCGTTTGTCCAACTGCCCGTGCTGCCCCTCACCGTCGACACGGGCTTCCCCTTGGCCATGCACATCTGCCGCGAGTCGCGCGCCGTGGCTCTGGACCCCAAGGTGGGCGGCGTGCGCCTGCGCGCCTCGCATGTCGCCCGCTGCATGACACCGTTTCGGTGCTTTCGCCCGGAGCTCGACGTTCTGTATCTCGACCAAGAGTCAATATTTCACCTCCACCTCCTCTATGACCCGGTGCACTCGCATATGCCTCCAGAGGGGCCGTCCGTGATGCCAAAGGGTCGGTGCTTTGAGGTTTTTGGGGATCTTTTGCGTCGCACGAGGCGGTTCGCGGTGCCCGTTGCGTTCGCGCTTGACGACGGGTACCTCGGCATCGTGTACCGCCACCTGCGATACCAATCCAAGGCGCTGGCACCCGCAAGCTTGTATATTGTATTGCCGTATACCACGCCGTACGTGTGGCGCGGCAAGGATACCGACGGGCCCGGGATGTTCGTGCCGCCGGGCAGACGATGCCGGCTCGCCACCGTACAGCCAGCGGCCCTCGAGGATGACGCGGTCATGGTCGTCGAGCCGAGCTACCCGCGCAGAGCCATGACCGCGAGGCAGGCCGTGCGGACGTGTATAGGCTCGTCGACGAAGAGCGCGAGGGGACGGAGCCGTGGGACAAGCTGGGCATGCTCGGCGGCCTGGAGCTTCAGGTGCGGGTGTTTGTCGAGCACCAGGGCCCTGGAGGCGTGTGGCGAGAGGCGTGTAGGGACAGAATGTACAACGGCGCATACTACGAGTCGTCGAGGGTCGAGGTGCCGCTGGACCGGCGGCCGAACCCGGAGCTGGTTAGGGTGCATGATACTGATGCAGTTTTCCGTCCAGTTCACGTTGACAATGTATGTTGCATGTCCTTGTATCGTTATTGACGGGCTATACTAACACGCTTGCGAAAAAAAAAAGGGAGCCCCTTGGTAGTCGCATACCATAGAAACTGCCGGGGAGGGGGCCGACGAATCTCGAGTTCAAGTTCTCGAATCGATATGCTGACCTGGAGCTAGTAATGATGTGGAACTATGCGCGTTGCCATACATGCTGCCAAGAACAACTTGGAATTTTCACCGAGATTAGAGCAACGACACATTATTTTTCTTGGCTCGGCCGAAGAATGCGAATTTGATGACTGAAGGTCAACGATTTCCTCGACTGGGCGCTTGCTGTACTCTGGGAACTGATACATGAACTGAAGGTTGAACAGCAGCACTTCACGACTTCTTACATAGACTAAAAGAGGGCCAATTTTCCATAGTATGATCTCAAATCCGCATCTAACACCTTTTGTCATTAAGATTAATTTAAGTTGCTTCTATCGACATCAGTAGCGAGCATTAACTGGTCGGGCAACCATAGTAGAAATCGCTCGAAATACAATATCCCAGTCATTGGGAACTGGCTACTGGCTTATGATACATCGTAACTCCTACCCCCTCTTGAATACATGGCTTGTACACCGGCCCTGACAGCAGTGATCAGGCGCTCTTGGTCAATCTGAACTGGGTCTTGCTGCCAATCACGCTTGCTTTTGGAAGCCACTCGCTGCGCATGAGTACGAAAGTACCTATGGCCTAGCATCTGGGCTAGATTTCGAAAACCCTTATGTGTGAAATCAGCCGGTAGTATTTCTATCAGCACCGCGCCAGGTTTCATGAACATGGAGTGTGTCAGGCCCGCGCCATGAACCCCGAGCAACACGTCAGTCTGGTGTGCTACCTGGACCTGTTGGTGCAGCGGCATAGAAGCAAAGTCAACGACGGTCAGCTTCATGTGCGGGACAGCTGCTCTGAGCCTTTCGAGGTGGGAATCTTGGTCCACTAGCTCACGGGCGCCTTTACGATCAACAAAAGTCACGACGATGTCTGCGTCGGTGCCACCGGTGCTGACAGCATCACCATCTGCGTCGGAAATTTTGTAAAGGTCCAGGACGCGGCGAACAAATGTACTAACGAGAGGAGCCTCGGTGCACGCCAGTTCTTGCCAGTCGCCCTGCCAGAGTGGGTTGCTGCCACCAACCAGAGGGACAACTATGTTGCTTGGCGGCTCCTCGGCATCAAGCTCGGACAAGCGCCGGATGGGCATCTGGGCGAAGAGACGCCACAGTTCAATGTATGGCCCAGAGTCAAGGTCATCGATTAGAACAATCTGGGTAGAGTTCATATGGCTCGGAGACAGGTAAGCGGCGCCCGTTTCTGTTGATGACATCTGCAACGAGTCGAGGCTCCAGGAGAGGCTCATAATCTCCATGAGCGAATGCCACAGGTTGCTCGTGCCTTCCCGCTTGACAAGGATTGTAATTCGCTCGGAATCCGGTCTCGGGGCGGCGCCGCCGTCTAGGAGGAGGCACTTGTTGAGTATCTGCAGCGGACCAGTGTCATACCAGTATGCGTGCATGTCTTCCGGTACGCGAGGGAGCCCGTGGGCGTTGTCCTCGGACGCACGCAGAGGACAGTCGATGTGAAAAACCTTCCGCTCAGGGTCAAAGACCGCCCCCCTCGCATAACAGGTAGTGTCGAGGCGGTCCTTCGCGGTCTCGGACCAAAAGCAATTCAGCGACGATGTTGCTTCGGGCTTGCAATAGGAGCCTGAGAAATTACGCAGATTGTCGAGGTAGCGCAGGCCGAAGCGTTCCTGACACCATATCGATTCGGATGTCGGAGCCGCATAGTCGGTCGGTGTGTGAGGAGTATGTGTATGTGCGGCTGGTTGGAGTTTGGATATCCGCGTCGAGCGTCTGGCATCGGATGTGACAAGGAAATAATATGTGAAAAGGCAGATAGAAAAGATAGAGACAGAGCAGAACAGGTGCACTTGGCGCCGATTAAGGAGCGACCGAATCATGACGAGGAAGCCAAGCCCATGAAGAGCGATGGTTGCGTTAGTGACCTTGGGAAGCAGTCATGTCGAGGCAAGAAAGATCCATCTGGAAAGAAGGGTGGGCGTTGGACGGATACAACTAGTTACCAGCCCACACTACCTATTAATACCTAACGCACGGTTCGTAGCTTCAGCCCCAGCTAACCGCCCGCTCCGACAGGGGAGGAAGCCTCTATTTCCACATTTCCACCTTACGGCATAGACCGGGTACCCGCAGTTGCCCGTAAGGCTGTCAAACCAGCACTAGTCAACGGTTTGCAGGCGCGTACACCGGATAGTACTCAGCCAATTAGGAGGGGTGTGAGATTTGGCTACACCCGGTTCCGCGAAATGAAGTGATGAGTGATGAGACCTGCTTGCAGAAAGCTGCAGACAAGCTGCAGATAGGTAGCTGCAGATACAAAGCTGATAGGTGCGGTTTCCACCGTCCCCATTGCGAATGTTCGAGCAGGGGGGGCCAGCAGCAAGAGGGGGAGTTGGTGGTTAGATGGATCATCTCGCCCCCTTTGCCTTTTTCCTTCATCTCATAGTGTGACGGTTGTCACACTTTGGTGTCGGTCGAGAGTCATCCTTTTTTCCTGCTTTCTTCTTCGTCTTCTTCGTCTGCCCCTCCGCCTTCTTCTTTCTTGCTTTTTTTTTTCTTTCAAATGTTTCATTACTTCTCAGAATGAGTATAGCCTCTCTCATGAAGTTGCTCCTACTCATGGCAGTTGGGACACTGCTGCTGCCAACCGTGCACGGCACCAACTGCAACCCTCGTCCTGTTCGTCTCTCTATCCAGAATGTTACCATTTCAAATGGCAAGATCCGCCGTGGCGTATCGATTCAAGTCGGAACGCCTCCCCAGACACTTGCTTTCCAGCCAAGATGGTAATTCCGCCTCCTCTTCGCCGCACATTCCATCTCTGCAGTGCTAACGCAGCTCCAGGAACAACAACAACACTTATGTCTTTGGGCCCCAGTGCCTGTATGAGGACTTTATTCACACGCCCGATGCCTGTGCTACGTTTCGCGGTGGACTGTTCGACCCGAGCAAGTCCAAATCTGGTGGATCGACCAACCAGAGCTTTGTGCCCCCCAAAGACCCGTTTACCAGTGACTCGTACGCGTACTTTACAGATCTGCTCCAGTTGGACAACAATGTGTCACTTGGCGACTTCCCGATCGGACGGGCTACCAACTCTTCGAACTGGGGCCTACAAGCGTACGATCCGCTCAACATCATCGGAATGTCGTCCGGATCACTATTTCTTGACACACTGTACCAAACTGGCAAAATTTCTTCGCGGTCATTCGGCTATTTCTGGGGCCTCGAGGGCACTTCTCCCCGGGACCAGCTTGACGGGTCGTTTGTTATTGGTGGATACGACAAAGCGAAGACTATCGGCACGGCATACACTGGCACCATCTCCGTGCAGGCAAACTGCCCGACTGGCATGATTGTCACCATTCGCGACATCTTGCTCAACTTCCGCAACGGCACAGACAAGTCAATTTTCCCCTCTGATAACGGCGGGACTGCTCTACTGGCCTGTGTTTATCCCGAATTGCCATCATTGATGGATATGCCTCGCACACCACATTTTAGCAACCTACTGGCCGCAACTGAGCTAGTAGAAGGGAAACGATCCACAGGTATTCATTGGTGGAATGGTCTCGTTAGTGCAAAAAACGACCAGTTGTAAGTATCCGGCACGGATTCCGAACAATAGACATTGCTGACAAGAAGAACAGATATGATGGCGATATGACGATCCAATTTGAGGGGGGCCTGAAGATAGCAGTCCCTAATCGCCTACTCATCGTTCCAGAAACAAAGATAGTAGATTCTGGCGATATCGTTGCCAACAGCTCCTCTCAGGTGATCCTCATCAATTCGCTTCAGGATGTTAACTCCAAAAGTATGCCGAGGCTAGGAAGGGATTTTTTGTCGTTGGCTTACTTGCAGAGCAATCAAGACTCTGGCCAGTTTTCCATATGGCAAGTAAACCCAACCCCAAACGAAGATCTAGTGGCGGTGGATGAGAAGAATGCGCTGGTGCAAGGCGGACAAGCGTGTCCCACCGGAGCGGCAACACCTCCTTCGTCGCAGCCCACGTCGCAGCCGCAGCAAGGCGGGGAGAACAAGGAAATTCTGTCGACAGCTGCGATAGCCGGAATCGTGGTTGGCGCTGTTGCTGTCCTCGCATTCCTTGGAGGCTTGATCTGGTTCCTGCTACGAAAAAAGAAGACAAGGGCGGCGGCGGCGGCGGCGGCGGCGACGGCGGAAGCGGACGCCCAGAGGAAGGCTGCACGTGATTTGGCCGAAGAGAACAAGCCTTCTACTGCCGCGGATTATTATCCCAGCCAAGGCATCCCTCACTATATCCCGCAGGAACTTCCCGTGCAGACACGCGAACGTACTCCTGTCGAGTTGGCGGGCGTCCGGACACGCGAACCTACTCCCGTCGAGTTGGCGGTTTAATTACAAAGGGTCATGGCAGCTGGATGACATTGCAAGAAGATATGGTAAATGTTTGGTTGTGTAGTTAATGATGTCAAAACAAGCGGGCGCATTTTTTGTTTGTGGAATGACTAGTACGCACATTTACATATATGTTTTACATGAAACTCAATAAAGTCTCTTGTATTTTGCGAGAATTTAGTCAGCTCTGCACGAAAAAAAGGGGCGCTGCAACAATGTGGCCAAAACAAAGCAAAACTTGTCGGGGAGGGTTGTGTACGTTGTGTACAATAAAAGTATCAGTAAGGCTCCAAGATGTGACCTTGATGAGTTGGCGGTGAGGGTCAAGTCGCCTGTTGAGAGCCAGCGCTACGATGAGACTCGGGCCTGCGTCCAAGCGCTTCCACGATTGGCGGCGCTTATCCCTTGGTCATAAAGGAGCAAGCAGGATTTTGACACGAGTTTGGTCTAACTACGTCGCTCGAGGGATGATAGGAGGTACTTCACGAGAGTCAGCAAATGAGCCATCAGCTCGTGCAACTAGCCTCAACCTAGCCTTAGCAAGTACCTATCCGGTACCTAGTTGTCTTTGTCTGGCGGGTCTCGCGGCCTAGTTGCTCCGTTACGACAAAGGGATAACAGACTTGGCCGTCCCAGATACTGTGGTCTCCCTCACACTATAGTTGCTATGTACCGGTATGCCACCCAGTATAATTGCACAAAATGCAATATTTGAGACTGGACAGGTCGCTAATTTACAAGACTCGGCGCGGAGGGCCGCGCGGATGTAACAAAACCGCTTCACAACTACGGCAAGGACAAACCACTCCCACTACAATGCCCAGACATTTAGCTTATAGCATACCACGCCGGAACCGGGGCACTGCAGATTCGCGTCTGTCATTTTCCCGACCCCGCCAGTGAGGGCGAGCGGTTGGGGCACAACATAACAAAGAATCGTGGCGTAAATTTATTGAATAAATAGCTACGCTAATTTTTTTTTTCCAGGAGATAGATACACAGTCAAGGTCACCTCCTGCCGCCGAAGGAACTCTGTAACGTTAGCGGGTGATATTAATGTAGCAATTTCTCCATAATTAAGTTTTTATCTCTTGTCACGATTGTTTCTCGCTAAATACAGAGCTCGCTTCGAAATGGGCTGAAAACCCACTTGCTATGACACCTGATATGAGTGAGACTCTTTGCCTGTTGTCTTTCCTAGAATGCCCCACACCTACACTTGATGGTGCACAATAGCTGAACCGACATCAAGTTGGGACCCATGGCGCAACGGTAGCGCGTCAGATTCCAGTACTCATGGTATCTCCTGAAGGTTAGGCGTTCGAATCGCCTTGGGTTCAATTCCCACCATTCGGTGATCATTTTTTTGCACTTTGCTCATTTCTTTGCGTGTTTATTTTTCTTGGCCCAGGGAATATATATCGTGTCACTACACATTCAATAAGCAGCTACGAAGCCAAGCCGGACCCATGGCGCAACGGTAGCGCGTCAGATTCCAGTTCTTGGAACTACCTGAAGGTGTATGTCTACTCATCTTGGCTCCTCTTGCGACAGCGCAATATCTAACATTCAAGCAGTAAGCGTTCGAATCGCTTTGGGTTCAATTGCCTACTTCGGATTAATTCTTTTTTTGTCACGCTGCGCGCTGGTGCCGGATGGAGGGGCAGCCACGGTGAGGGGTTCAACCCGCGCAGCCACAGATCTTCTTTTTTGCCCTGGGTAGATTCGTCTTCGAGGAACAAAAAGGCGTACATACTTGTTCCGCTTTGTTTTTTACAGGCTGTCCTACCACGAGAAATAGAAGGAATTTCAAAGCATGTACAAGAGAAACAGAATTTGCTCCATAGGTACAAACCAAGGTATGGAGGGAGACGCATTATATGCGCCTGTAGTAAAATGCATCATGTATAAAGTGGAATTTAAATTAAAGAGAAATGTTTAGACTAACAACCAATTCCTATCTCGTTGCGCCAGCAAGCTCATCAAATTATCTCCGACTTCATCTGTGGACGGGTTATACGATGAGTGGGTCTGTTCACCGATGCTAGTTAGTCCTGTCTATTCGCGGTGAGACCCAGCCAGTGGACTACGCCGTTTCATCATCCGACTGGGCATTAACGTCTCGCTGCCCATCTCGTGTTACCGTTTTTTAAATCCTCGAGGATCTCCTGGCTCCTCTCTCACCATCACCACAGTTGTTGCACTCTTTCAACCAGAGCGCGCAATTGCAATCTCATGGCAAGGGAAACGCACCGCGCGCCCTAGACATGTTGCCTCACCTCGGCCTATACCACTGCATCTCTCTGTTCTCCTTGGCGGTGAGCAAACCGACACTCAGCCACCGTCCGTATCACTGATCTTGCTGCCGCAGCTCGGCATCATGACGCAGGCCGTCCAGCGTGGCGACCTGGAAGAATACGTGGGCCAGTTCCGGGACCAGATCCCCCTGCAAGACGGCACCATTCCTCACCGCAAAAATGTCCGGGCCGCATTTCTGCCCGGCGTCGACGCGGCCAACCAGGATCTCTCGCGCGCCGTGACTCTGGCGCGTCGCGGGGACTTGGACGCGGCTCGTGCCATGGCCGCCCTCTACGCCTACGCCTTTGTCGAGTACCACGACATTGGCCAGGGCCGCACGCGTGACTACTTGATCCTGCGCGAAGAGGTCGATGAGAATGGCGTCGCGAGGCGAAACTGGGGCATGTACATTTTCGCAAAGATTGGTCCCAGGGACGCTTCCTATGGCACGCCAATCTCAATACAGGTCCCGCATCCTTTGTTCGACATGAACACGCCTGACCTGGGGATCAGGACCTTTATCGAAACAAACGCAGATTCCTTCTTCATCGCAGGAATCCACCGATATAGTACGGAATCCTCCAAAACGTCATCCACCTGGTCCAACGCCACCTCGTCCGACATGGCTCACAATGAGCACAGCTTGTTCCTGCAACTGGCACACGACTTGACACGACCCGCCGCCTACCACCGCTTTCGCGGGCTTAAAGCCATTACCGTGATACAGATTCATGGATTTGGCAACAGCGACATGGAGGATGGCAAGTGGACCTACAACCCCAAACGCACATATCCCCAAATCGTCTTGAGCAACGGCGACGAATCATTGCAAGGGAAGCGCGTGGCGATACTCGACAGACTGTCACAGGAATTTTGGAAGCGCGCGGCGACCGGCAATGACCAGAGAATGACGACGGGGGTCTACAACGGCTGGGAGTTTAGCGACCTCGGCGCGACGGGCAACATTGTCGGGAGACGCATCCGCGCACGGGGCGACGGCTCGACCTTTATCCACATTGAAACAGACCCGTCTATACGCGTCACGAATGGATGGGCCAAGGTGCGGCACATTGATGCGCAGGCGGATCGTGCGGAAAAGTATCGCCGGTTCGGGCGTACGCTGCGGCTGGTCCTGAAGGCGGACGACGGGTCGGCACCATTTATTGTACAAAAGCTGTAGGGAACTTTGCGGGCAGGTTGTAGGTTGGATTAGTGTTGTATACTATAACCATTTTGAATGCCGCTCTTCTAACTTTCTATACTGTGCCGCAAATGTTGTGTTGCGACCGGATAATGTGAAAGGCCTCGATCAAGCCGCGGAAATGGATCCAGGCAGCCACCATGACGGCCATGTGAAGGATCTGGTGACTTGCGCCAAAGTTGTCAAAGGTATAGGGAACCCATCTTTCGGGAATCTTTACTAGTCAGCAGCGAGCACATGGCGGGGTGTGCTAGGGAACATACTCTTGCAGCGTAGATGGCCGCGCCGACGAGATTGGCGGTTGCCATCCAGCCCATCCACACTAGGGACATGCGCGACTTTTGAAGCTCCCATCCGTGAAGCAGGAGTCCGTGTGCAACAAAGATGATGGAGCTCAGACCAAAGCCGGCGTAGAAGCTGGCGCGTATGTGTCGGTATTGGGGCGTGACAAAGGCCGGGGTGAGGGTGAAGATCATGCAGCAGAGTGCTGTGCTCGAGGTCTTTTTTTTGCAGTTAGAAGAGATGGGGTAGGGTCAGAGGCAAAGACGAATACTACCATTGTCCAGTACACAACCCTCAAGGTGTGATTGCATATGAAGCCGTAGTAGATTGTTGGGATGCCTGCGCCCCACATGAGGACGAGGATGCCCAGGTAATCGAGCTTGTTGCAGAAGCGGCATACAGCATGGCTATGATTCCACAAGGTGTGGAAGCTGTGGTGCGTCAGAAAGGAGAGTGGTAATACCGTGCTTGCCGTCGGATGGTCCACTCACATGGTTGAGAAGATGAAGCACACGGCGACACCGAAGCAGTAGATTGACACAACAAGCACGTCCTCCTTGCGGCCCTCTGGCTGTTGCAGAAACACGTCGTTGTAAAAGTAAAACGGGAGCAGCAGAAAAGCAAGCGCCCCGATGAGATGCGAATACGTGTTGACAGTCTGGTTGTTGAGATAGAGCAGCGAGGTCACAGACTTCCATGCCGAGCCCGACGTCGGCCTGGCAACAGGTTAGAGAGAGAAAGGGTCAGGTCGGGGGTACGCTACCTGTAGCTGGAGAGGATGTGCTCGTTGTCCTGCTGCCAGGAGGGAAGCTCGTGGAAGAAGAGCAGCCGCGGCGTCTCGAGCCACGCCGCGCGCCCGTACTTTCGGACAGCCTCGTCGCCGGCGGCGGCTGCGACCGACACGGGCGAGTTTTTCCTCAGCGACATGGCTGGCGCTGACGACTGGGAGGAGGGGGGGAAGCAAAGTTTTTCTGTCGCACAAGAAACGAGACAGACAACCTACAGACTGCGAATTGGCGTGCGCGCTGGCTGATGGCCCCCGATGAAGAGGGAAAGCCTCGTTCTCACGTGAACCATGTCCTCTCACCATTTGGGGGGGCGCAACCCCTCTCCGGGGGCCATGTTCCGCCATAAAGAATCACTGTAATCTGTATTGAGATGCTATAAAAGCCTTTGTCCCCTGCCCGAGGCTGAAGTGGAGGGGGAGGACCCCTGTGGGCTTTGGCGGCCAACCAATCGGCGCTATAACCGCCCAAGTGCACTGGCTAGTCCGGTGTTGGCGGCTCGGCCCGGCCAACCAAGAGCGCCGGGCTGCAAAAGTGAAGCCTATTCTTGAGGCTAAACGCCAGCAGGGTTGACGGGAGTTAGGGTAGTGGATAGATAGTCGGGGTTGGTGAGAGAAGAGAGTTACATGGCTTGACATGTTGCAATACCGTACTCTGCCCGCCACTCCATAGATCTTGTGTCGTATCCTTTGTTTTTTTTTTTTTTTTGCGCTACTGTTGAAGCTATATCGTCTTTTGTCGTACATCCCCATTTTGCTACTATTTTATTCCCATCTTTTTTTGAGCGCTGCGTAAAGTACGCAATGTCCGTCCAGGTGCACCGGCTCAGCTTCGTCAACTCTACCCTCGTTGGCTTCGTGGTCGAGCCCGGCGGCCGAGGCACGCTCTCACTCCTGTTCTCCTGCCTTCACCCTGTTCCTCTGCGGGAACGTTGTATATTGTTGCTTGAGGCTTGTTAGTGGCCGAAGCATTCATTTCCATCCGAACGCTGCCTGCCTCGGCGTACCAGTCACCTTCGTGGGTGCTGACTGGGCCTCACCTTTGATACCGACGCATTCCCAATGACATTTCGCATCTAGACTTATTCACATCATAAGAAGCATTTGTAGACTTTATTATCAAGTTTTTTTTTACAATATCCAACTTGAACCTTTACTCGAATAGGAGCAGTGTCTAGTCCAAAGATGGAACCTTACTTCGTCTGTGTCGTGAGGTAGCCTTGGAGCTTCACCAGCACCAGTTTCCTCCAGCGATGCCTTCTGGTAACAGCACACAACACAGATCAGCGGCGCGGATCGAAGCCAGCCTCGCCCAGGTACTCCTCAACAAAGGGGACAAAGGAAGCCACTCGAGTGTAAAGACCCTTGGTGCCACAGCTGACACCCGACGACACGACGCCGATGAGCTGTCCCGACGCCTGGTCGACCAGGGGGCCGCCGCTGTCGCCCTGGCAGGAGTCCTTGCCCGGCGCGCCGGCGCAGACCATGGTGTCGACCGCGCCGGCGCAGTCGCCGCGCGTGAGAATGGGCACGTTCACCCGGCGAAGGGTTTCGGCGACGGGTGCGCCTGGCGCAATCGTTCCCCTGGACCAAAATGAATCAGCAGGCTAATCCCGAGGTAGATGCTGTGTGCGCTGAAAGAGTACTTACCAGCCTGCCACCATCGCGCCCGACGCCACGGCGGGGTCGGAGCCGCTGGCCGGCAGCTTTGCGTACTTGACCGAGGCGCTTTCGCTAATCTCGGCGGCGAGCTTGAGAATGGCAATGTCGTTGGCGGAGCCGACCTTGTTGTCATAGCTGGGGTGGATATGAAAGTTCTGAACATCGACGAGCACTCCGTCCTTTTCTCTTGCCTGTATTCAAAGTCAGCGTTTTGTGTACTGACAGGTGGTCGACTGGACGGCCTCCTCCAGGCTCATTCAAACCAGGCGCACACTATGATCAAGAGGAAGAACTATGATCAAGATAAAGAGCAATACGTACCAGAGATCCTGCCCTGACATTGAATACGGTACCCGGGCACCGGCCTGCCTGTTCGCGGCACCAGATGACTTGCTCAAGGCAATGGGCGGCAGTGACGACTGTCTTGCTGTCCACCAGAGTGCCTGCGCATTGCTGGATCGGATGACCGTTCATCGCGTCAATGCTCACGATGAATGGGAATTCGCCCAGTTTAGCCTCTTCACCGCCAACGATTCTCTTGTCAATTGCTGATGCCGTGACAAGAGTGGCAGAAAGCGTCATGGCGAGGAGAGTGGTGAGTTTGTAGACCATTGTGGAAGAAGGTTGGTGTAGAATTGGATTTGAGAGGGAGAGTTAGGTAATATAATGGGATATGATGGTAAAGGATGATGTTTGTTGATGCACTCGTCTGGATGGTTGGCTTCTGAGTTCCTTTATACGTTTTCTTCCGCCGTCCTTTACACTCTCCGCGAGACACCAACCACACAAGGATACGGTGCATAGCCTACTTCAAAGTACATGAACCCATCTTCTGACTCAACAAGATATATAATCTATGCTTGCTTCAATAGCCAGAATACATGGCTTGTCTGTTACTTTGTATGTGCACAAGAGGTAGTTTGCCTCGAGGTACATACGTCTCGGACCACCAGTCTACACATGGCAAGCGCTTGTAAGTCAGGCTCTTATGTTCTAGAAGCCTGACTTAATATATTTGACGCCGCTATAAACTGTCAGACGCTCCGGGAGGTCGCGTCCGAGTTGTCCTATACCTGCAAAGTTCGCTCTAGACTCCAGCGCAGACCTGCTGCACTCCAGTCCTATAACTAACAGGTACAAGTACCAAATCCTATTGTTACGTTACTCCCGCTACTACCGGGTTCAAAAAGTTCCAGAGCCAGTTTCTTCCGTCTACGCTTGGTAGGGGCGGTGCATGTATGTGAGCATCGATTGCGCTCGGTAGACGCTCGGATTTGGGACTCGGCATGCACTAGCCCCCGAGGCTTGAGTCGAGTTGGTAGGGGATACCGTCCCAGATGTATAGTAGCCTTGACCGGATCACCGGAGCCCACTCTTCCATGTGCCGTCGCCGCCGCCGCTCAATTTGACTTGAGGACGGGATCGGCGTTTTGCGGGCTTCGGTATACCCCAGTGTGAAGGGGGTGCTGTACATGTATAAAGCGAAGGCGGCTTGATAACTAGTTGACTCGAGAGTATTATAGGGCCAACTACTGCCCGAAAAAGAATATTAGATGCGGACAGGGCTGGTTTCATCGTCGGCTTATGCTGGGACGGTGATTTAGTCAACAGCAGTGCAGTCATGCATGCAGTGAGAATGAGTGAGATGCTATTATCTGCGTCTGGAAATAGCGGATGAAATCATGCAGAGGTTGACGAAAGGCTTGAAAGTGATCGGGGCGAGACACGAGTAGGGGTGGCGGGTCAGTTCGGAGAACGCCCAATGACCGAGGGGTCGGGAACACGTGGATGACGACTTTAAAAAAAGAAGAAATTCAAATTAATCTTATTCTATCTCTTAGATGCTATTGACTTGGTCAATTTCTAGTATACAGGCCATAGAATATTGTACCCAAGCATACCACCCTTGCGGCAAATAACTACACTAAAAAGCCGGTGTCGTGGATGCCATGTTGTCATTACCAACAGGTTTCGGTCTATGTATATTTAATATAGCCAGGTGATATCCGTACACAGGTGTGGCATGCGTATTACACCATTGTGCATATATGTGCGGCTACTCATACAGGTAATAAGTCGAGAAGGTTATCGAATTGTTACCTGTTTAACACACACCCTAGTTTGTTAGGAGAATTGACGTTATAATGTCGCGTTGCAGCAAAAAGTGGGTTACTTAGGGTTACCTCACTGGCATGAATTTGATCTTACGTACTGTTCAACAGATAGTACCCAGACTAATAAAGTCGTTAGATTGAAATTAAATATTGTTTGCTTTTAGTCGCACGCTTATTTTGCACCATCGCTGCAACCTTGGCAGTGCAACATGGTCTATATACGCTAATCGTTTTACTTGTACTGCAAGAATACATAACCCAAGCCACTAGCTTTCAAGAATATTCACCATCATGTAATATTATTGCCCAACTTGGGGCCAACCTCGAAATATGTCTCAAAGCCAAGGCGCTACAGTAGTGTCGGCGGTTGGGGATTTCGTACTCGTGAGCTCACAACAAACATCTTTGCCAGGTATCAAGTACTTAAGGACAAATTTCTGCTAGTAAGGTGTAGATCCCGCTTCTGCTACAACGCGACACTATCAGTGTTAACCGGGGGAGAAGAACCCCTCTCCAGGTATTGACAATTGCATAATTAAGAAGCGTCATGCTTTCTGGCTTCGAGCGCTCGCCTCTTACCTGTAAGCGGGTTGTAGTATAACACAGCGATTAACCGCCAAGCTCTGTTCAACTACCGGGAGACGGTCGGGCTGTGTCAACTGAAGCCAGCTTGGTCTAGAATCTCGGCTCTGACGGAGTTGTTGTATTTTTCATTTTCAGACGATATATCCTTGCTTGGCTTCAATCCCCTGACATCGGGTAGCTGCGACACGGATGCCACTAGAGTATTACTAGCTAGCCGTCTACGGAGAACAATCACCGCCTCAAACTAGAGTCGCCATGTTGGCCAGTCAGCTATTCATAATTAAGTATCACTCCATAATTCCAATCAGCAACACAATCGAACGCCAGCCAAAGACATGGGTCGCATTCAACATGCGTCCTTGCTCCGCTCAACCCGACCTTTCGGGCCAGGTGCATATCATGTATTGCACGCCGATGCCACGACGACATCCTTCTGCGTCAAGCCGGCGTCACAACAACAAAACGAGGACCAATGCCACGAGCCAGCAGGCAACTCCGTGTCCTATCACTCGTGGCAAGCGGGGTCCGGAACTCGCGCAACGACAAACCTCGCCGCTCGTTGGACGGTTGGATGTACAAAGATGCAAGTCCTGGGGGGGAAGAGGGCTGGGTGGCGGCCAGCTAAGCCGTCCCTCGGTTCAGCCGTACTGTGACACTACCAACACGGCCTGATACGTGTACGCGCGTGAATGGGAGGCGAAAACAGAAACAATCGGTGACGTCTCCGCAGCCGGTCGCACAGGAAATGGCCTTGCGGCCTCGTATTTGCTACATTGTGCGGCCTGGGGGAGGGGTATTTAGCAACGGGGGGGCAGTTGAGAAGTCGCGTCTACTAAACGACGAGCATGCCTAGCTGGCAACTTTTTCTTCATTTTTCTCCTCGGCCAGGTTTTGTTCCGTACAAGTCCTTACATGATTCGTCGACACAATGAGCGAGTTTGAACCTACGCGAGGTTAGTCCGCCGCCGCTGCGGCTTGCGCTTGACTTGACGACCGCTCACCGTTTCCCTTAGTCGACTGCTCCGGCATGTTTGAGATTGTGCCCATGTACGATGCCCAGCGACTCGAGCCCGCCGCCCTGCGGCTACTCGAGCTCCTCGCCTTTCTCGGCACCGGCCTGCCCGAGACCCTAGTAAAGGCGCTGGCCCTTGAGCTCCTGCCCGCCGCAGCCGCCGCCGCCGCCGACGAGGATGAGGACGAGGCCGACGAGGCCGACGAGGACGAGGATGAGGACGATGATGACACACCGCCTTACGACGAGGCGGCCTATGCTGCTGGCCGCGATGCGCTCTCCGCCGAGCCGCTCATCGTGCTCGAGGGCCCCGAGAAGAAGCTCGTCATCCTCGACGCCCTGCAGAACCAGGTCTTCGCCACGCTCAACGACTACAAGCGGCACCGCTTCTTTACAGGCGTCACGCGCGCCATCTGGGCCGAGTGGCCGGCCGCGCTGCCCGCGCCGTCGCAGCCGCCGCTGCTTCCGGAGCCCAAGACGCGCGCGCAGCAGCTGCTGCTGGTCAGTCGCTGGCCGGCCTGCGAGGACCTGGAGCACACCGTGACGCGACTCGAGGACCTCTACCCAAGCAGCCGAGAGCTGCTATCCGACGAGGAGGCTTTACTCTGCGGCAAGCTGATAACCGAAGGAGCATGGTAAAGAAGCGACTACAAACGCCAAAAAAAAAAAAAGCTTGCAAGAAATCTGCGCTAACAACGGTTGTAGGTTCCAAATCGAACGCGGCTACCGATCCAAAATCATCCCCTGCCTCATCACGGCCATGCACATTGGGCTCGCGACCGAGCACCCCGACGCCGCGGCCTTTGTCGCCGACGTGCGCTTCTGCCTCGGCGTCGTGGCCATGGAGTCCAACGACTTTGGCGTGAGCCGGACGCACAAGGACAAGTCGTTTGCCATTGTCGCCGGCCTGTGCGCCGGCGGCCCTGACGCCGACGACGAGCGGCTCGCCCTCGCCTACGCCGAGCGCGGCGTCTCCCGCCTCCAGGACGCGCGCTACGACGAGGCCGTCGCCGACACCCAGGCCGCGATCCGCATCATGCGCCGGCTGCGCGTGCCGCACGGCGCCCCCGAGGCCAACCTCGCCTGGGCGCTGCTCGCCCAGCGCCGGCTCGCCGAGTGCGAGGCGCTGCTCGACGAGAGCCTCGCTGCCGCCGCGCACGACGGCGAGGGCACGGGCCTGGGCCTGCTGCTCAGTGCCGCCGCGGCGCTGCGCGCGGCGCAGGGCGACGCCGAGGAGAGCGGCGCGTGTCTGCGCGGCGCGTGGGAGCACCTCTGCGGCGTCGTCGGCAAGAGGGACCCGTGCACGGCGCGGGTCGCGCACAAGCTCGCTGAGCATCTCCTGCGGCGGAGCGAGCCCGAGGAAGCACTGTGAGTTAAAGCTGAGCTTTGTATGTGAAGATAGCGAGTCAAAGTTGCTAACATGGGGCGGTCATGGAAGGGTGCTGTTGAACGAGGCGCTCAATGCTTGGGGCGTCGATCCGCTGGCGAACCAGAATGAGGAGGCGCGCACGCTGTATTGGAAGAGCAGAGCGGTGGCGGCGCTCGGCAGGGCGGAAACGGCGACGAGGTTGCGCAAAAAGTCGATTTTGCTGTATAATGACATCACCAACGAGAGCAAGGACGTGGACACGATCAGTGCCCAAGATTTCGATGCTCTAGTGCCGTTTTGGTCCCGATAGTTGGCGCCGAGGGAGGCAACTATTCATAGCTTTGAATACATTCATCATTTGGTACCTAGCCAATGGCGGAACGTGCTCAATACGCAGTATCCGTCTACTCGTCCCGTCAAAACATCAGGTCACAAGATTGCTGCTGCTCAACTATTGGTCCGGACTACTCAACCGACAAACATCATGTCACAAGTTTGCCGCTGCTCGGCTCCTCGTCCGGCTCCCAACGCAACTCTCTTGTCTGGCTCTCCGCCACTTTCCCATCCACAAACGCCTCCATCGCCGTCCTCGCCTGCTCGTCCAGCAGAGGCAATCTCCTCGTCCACGTACCCCCCGCCAGCGCACCGCTGTCCTCATCCGGCCCGAAGAAGCGCGCGTCGAGCTTCTTCCAAAAGACCGTGTCAAACGCAAAGCTCCTACGCGCCGCGTACACGGTCCAGAAGTCGCCGCTGGCCCAGCTCTCGCGCATCTTGCCCGACAGCCGCTGCGTCTCCTGCAGCCGCCCGGCCGCAATGTACTCGTCCTCGCAGGACGCCATGGCCCGGAGAAAGGTCGGGAGGCGGCGCTCGTAGTTTTCGAGCCAGTCGTCGAAGCCATTGTCCCAGTACTCGGGCTGCTCGAGGAGCAGCCACCAGGGCGGCGCAAAGGTATACTCGCTCGGCGCTGCATACGAGAATTCCCAGTCGATGACGCACACAATGTCCATGTTGGCATCGATAAGGATATTAGACGGGCGTAGGTCGTCGCACCAAAACTTAAACGGCCCTTTATCGTGCTTTTCAGACAAGAGCCTCCGCTCGCTCGCGAGCCTCTGGAAAAGTTTCCGCGCCGTGTACTTGCGCTGACAGTCAGCCTTAGACTCGATGGCGTCGTTGCGCTGGGCGGCGAGGTGGTCAAGATGGAGCTGGGCAAGACTGTCAAGGTACTCTGAGGAAGTCTTGAACGTAGTACAAGGCAATTTTGACCGCGGCAAGCTTCCGATTCGAACTAGTTCATTCATAGGCATTGATAGCGGGCGCCGCGTCACCTCCCACTGCTGCCATTCATCCGTCTCGGCGAGCGATCCTATCAGGGGATGCTCTAGTTGGGAGAGTTGAAGGAGGATGTTGGCGACTTGGCGATAGAGTTTTTCAAGCTTAGCCTCGTCAATATCTGGGTTTAGTATTGGCCGCATGTCATTTGTGAACCCTGGTGTGTTAAGTGCAGCGCTCATTTCCATTTCATGGTTGACATAGTCCATAATAATAAACGGTCCAATATGAAGGGGGCTTTCTTCCCGGGTTCCCCAGTGAAGAATAAACGGAACTGGTATGGCGGTGTGGTCCTGGATATATCTCATAGTAGCGACTTCATTTCGAATCCTTTCTTCAGGAAACATTGTCCTACCCGGTTTAGCAAAGCGTATCACGGCGGAGCCGCCGTCTAGGTATGTCAGACGAAACAGAGCGTTGAATGCGCCGGCCTTGAGAGGACCAATCTCTTGAGGGACGCCTTGGCGGTGCTTCGCGATGAAGTTACCAATGGCCAGCTGTGTCGAAGGCTTTAAAAGACTCGCGATCCATTCCTTCTCGACGCGGTCGCTTTCTTCCCATGCGACGTCATCGCCTGGCATCCACATTGCCATGTTATAACGGCCAACGACCGAGGTTGGCAAGTATGTATTAAAAACGGTGAATGCTTGCGGGGCAGACACGGGCTAGTTATTATTGTATAGTTTCGGCATGGTCAAAATGTCCGGCGCAAGCGGTCTGCTGTGGCAGAATAGGATGAAAGCCGCGAAACAGCCATTTACGCCTCTGTCTCACCATTTGTCTTTCCAGGCTTCTTCCAACATGTCCACCTCCAACATGGAAGAAGAGGGCTGCATAGCCACAACATTCGAAAGAAAGTACTATCAGCGTGGCCCGGTGTTTATAAAGAGAAGCCTGCGGCCGAGGGAATACCGAACCGGATATCGAGGGCTTCACATACCGCCACTTGGCAAGGAACGCCTTATGAACGAAGCTGAGTCGCTGCAATTCATCCGCCAGCGTACCGATATTCCTGTCCCGACTGTGTACTGCCACTTTCTAGATGATGATGCATATTATCTTATAAGCGAGTTTGTGGAGGGCATTAGCATGGCCGATCTCTCAGACGAACAGAAGCCCATGGTGTGCGAAGAGCTTGCGCGTCATACAGCCAAACTCAGTACTTTGCGATCATCGCGGCTCGGAGGTCCCTCTGGGATTGTGATTCCCCCCTATCGGGTTCTTAAGCTTGCCGAGTCGGACAGATGGAATCTGCAGCCTTCTGCGAGCGACGAGTATGTTTTTTGTCACAACGATTTGTCGCAGCAGAATGTAATTGTCGACCCCGAGTCTCTCAAGATAAAAGCAATCATCGATTGGGAGTATGCTGGATTCTTTCCGTCCTATTTTGAGTATCCCTTCTACACCAGACTGGGACCATCATCTGCCATTAATGGGGAGGCCGACGACTCTCTCGCTCTGTTGCAATTCCTCCGCTCTGAAGCCACCAGCGGGACAACCCGTGCAGGGTAGTTGGGCATGTCGGCAATAACTAGATTGGCGAGATCCGGGAATCTTGCGGGCCAGCGCTCCCAAAATACGCTTCTGGAACTGTTCGGGTCCGAAAAGTTAAACAGAACCAGAAGTAGACTCACACAAGGTTACTTAGGCAAAAGAGTTTAAAACGCTGTATTTGTAGGCGACGTTCAGTCCTCACTTCCGATAAGATACAGCGTCGCCGATAGCATCCGCCTCATTCCCAGCAGCGCTTCTCGTGCGTGGTGCATGTGCGTAGGCTCGGCCTTGCTGGTTTGTTTGTTCCAAATTCTGAAGCGTTCTTTCGTCTTTTGACGTTGTCTATTTTTCTCATATATTTATTATACCTTTGCCTAGTCTAGTCGGCCATGGCTCGGGGTTGATGTAGCCGTGTGGCCTGCAGCCATCAAGGTCGGTCGCCAATCTTGGTACTTAAGGCCGGCGCCCGCCACATCACTCCTACATGCCATGACCTTGATCGCAGCTCAATCACGTCACAGGAGGGCCGGAAAATGCACACCATTTCATAAATTACGTCTTGCATCAATTTTTATTGCTCCTCGTGCTACAGACATTAGCAATGATATTCTGCCCAGGCTGCCTACAGCTTCCGCATGTCGACAACGGCGCGGATGCAGTCGCCGTCCTTCATCGTCTCAAAGGCATTGTTCATCTCGCCGAGGGTCTTGCGGTGGGTGATGAACTCGTCGACCTTGAGCTTGCCGTCGAGGTAGTCGCTGACGAGGCCACCCATCTGCGAGCGGCCCTTGATGCCGCCAAACGCGCATCCCTTCCACACACGGCCGGTGACGAGCTGGAATGCTGCGCGATCTGTCAGTACACAATTCCAATCCCAATAGAAAATAGTAACTTACGTCGGGTAGAAATCTCCTGGCCAGCCGCGGCGACGCCGATAATGATGCTCTCGCCCCAGCCCTTGTGGCAGGCCTCGAGCGCGGCGCGCATGACGCTGACGTTGCCGGTGCAGTCAAACGTGTAGTCGCAGCCGCCGTCCGTCATCTCGACCAGCTTCTCGACAATCGTCTGGCCCTTGAGGTCGTTGGGGTTGACAAAGTGCGTGGCGCCAAACTTCTTGGCCCACGCCTCCTTGGACGGGTTGACGTCGACGACGATGATCTGCGCCGCCTTGTTGATGACGGCGCCCTGCACCACCGACAGGCCGACGCAGCCGGCGCCAAAGATGGCAATGTTGGACCCTTCCTCCACGTTGGCCGTCACGCGCGCGGCGCCGTAGCCGGTGGTGATGCCGCAGCCCAGCAGGCACGTGCGGTCCATCGGCGCGTCGGGCTGCACGGCCACGACGGAAATGTCGGCGACGACAGTGTACTGCGAAAAGGTCGAGGTGCCCATAAAGTGCAGCAGGTCCTTGCCCTTTGCCTTGAAGCGGCTCGTGCCGTCGGGCATGACGCCCTTGCCCTGCGTGGCGCGGATCTTGCCGCACAGGTTCGTCTTGCCGGATTTGCAAAACTTGCACTCTTTGCATTCGGGGGTGCTGCGGGTGCGCCAAAGGTCAAAGATGGTTCGATGGGATAAGCATCGGGGTGGGGGGCTTACTAGAGGCAGACAACGCTGTCGCCGGGCTTGACATTGGTGACGCCCTCGCCGACGGACTCGACGATGCCGGCACCCTCGTGTCCGAGGACAATGGGGAAAGCGCCCTCGGGATCCTTGCCGGAGAGCGTGTACGCATCTGCAGAGTTTGTATGAGCTTCAATTCTTGCACTGGGTGGTGTCTATTGCGCGCGTGGCCGTACCTGTGTGGCAAACACCGGTGTAGTGAATCTCAACGCGGACCTCGTGGGCCTTGGGAGGAGCGACCTCGATGTCTTCAATGGTGAGCTCCTTGCCGGCCCCCCAGGCAACGGCGGCCTTGCAAGTAATGGTCTGTTTTCGGTGTCAGGGTGGTTGGTCTTCTGTCATTGTTTACTGGATGCTGAGCGGCGGCGCGTGCCATCGTCATGGTGGCCGCCGGCTCAGCGGAGGGGTAGCATCTGCAAAATGAGGGGCACGCCGTCTTACCTGTCCTACAGTCGACGCCATGGTTGTATCTCAGCTTACGATCAATGGATGTCCAAGGTAGAAATCGTCAAGTTGGTGAAGAAGAAAAGGATGAAAGGAAGATGGATCAAGCTCGATGACTTGGAAGCTGATAAAAAACAAGTCAGAGTTATTGGCGGCGAGATTGACCTGTCATGACGGCGTTAAGCCCGAAAGCCGGCCGCCAAAAACGTTTGTATGGTGCACGCAACCCCGCTGCGGAGCTTGCAGCACACTTCCTCAGCCCAAGAATAACTACGGAAGCATCGGAGGGAAGGCGGCCAGAAACCGGGCACTAATAAAAAATGCCGAATAGCGAGAGTTTGCCGATACTAGTATACGAGACGCTTTTTGGTTTGGTGGTTTGGTGGTTTGGCTTGGTGATGTTGTCAATTGTTGGAATTTAGCGACCGTCATGTCGCCAACAGTAAATATTTCTTCAACTTGCCAGCATATTCAGGTATTTACTTGCTGAAGATTGGCCTTCTTTTCATTTTTGTACAATGATCCCGAGGACTCTTATAGCCCTTATAGCCTTTCCCGACACAAAACCGATCACCTGATCGCCCATTCATCCGTTCGCCGCCCACCAACCAAACCATACACGGGTCGTCTTGGTACATTCATAGCAGAGTGTCACTCGGAAACTGCGCTGGCCGAAAGAGTCATTTGCTTTCAAATCATGAAAAAAAAACGGAAACATCAAATTCTTGGCGCTCGGTAAATTTTCCGGCTATTTTCTGTTATCCTTCACAAATGGCAGCCTGACCAAGGCACCAACATCCTGGCCGTGCGCCCCTCACCGCCACAGCAGTAATAGCACCTAACAGCACCAGCCACAGAAGCTGTAGCCCCACATCCTGACGACAGCGTCCAGCGACAGCCCCGCCAATTGAAGCTGCATACGCCATCACCAGTCTCTTGAAAGCAGCTTCTCCAGCCGATATCCTCTCCATCGTCGCGCTGCGCCAGCATCCATCCAGCATGCCTGTACGCAATCCCTCACTCCTCCCATCCTCTCCCCCGCTCGTTACCGCGTCTTTTCTCCCGCCGTCACCCCCGCCTCTCTCCCACACGTTTTGCTAACGTTCCCACGCAAAAAGGCCTACAACTCCGTCTTCAACTCGGAGCCCAATCCGCGCCTGATTGGCAACTTCCCGCTGCTGCCGCTGCGCACCAAGGTCCGCGGCCCGGCCTACACGCTGCCGGCCGCCGACCCGGCGCTGCCGGCGTACGAGTCGCCCGACCCCGACGCCGAGAGCTACGACGTGCTCGACGAGGTGCTCGCGCTGTTCCGCGCAAACACCTTCTTCCGCAACTTTGAGATCCAGGGCCCCGCAGACCGCCTGCTCATCTACGGCATCTGGTTCCTCAGCGACTGTCTGTCCAAGATCAAGCCGCACGCGACGGCGCGCGACGCCCAAAAAGAGGTCATGAACCTCGCGCTCGACTTGCACTTTGCGCTGCCGGGCGACCCGGCCTGGCCGCTGAACCAGGTAAGCCCACGCAGCCCCTCTCCGTAGTCTGCAGGCTGTCAATGAGCCCCGCGTGCCCATCCCTCTCAGATTGGGACGTGGGTGGTTTTGGGGGGATAGGTCAACTAACTCCTTGGTGTGCTAGATGTACGAACCGCCCCGCGACAGGCAAGACGCTGAGCAGCTTCGTCAGTACATGGCTCAGGTCCGTCAGGAGCTGGCAGCACGCATACTCGCCCGCGTCTACGAAGAGGACGACACCAAGCCCAGCAAGTGGTGGCTCAGCTTTACAAAGAGAAAGTTTATGGGCAAGGCGCTATAAAAAAACAACCAGGGAGGGACAATCATAGGGGCCATCAGTAGACAAATGCTTTATAACGTCAATATAGCAAACACTTTTTCCTCCCAATGGGATACACATTTACTTCAAAGATGTCTAAATGCTGGTCATAGACTGCGACCCAAAATGCCAACGCCAATGTTTCTTTCCATGATTCGTCGTTCCAGCGCCAATGGTAACCCCCCCTAGAAACTACATCCGTCGCTTCTGAAACTTGCCGCGCGCCGCTATCCTGCCCTCGGCCGGGATCGCCCTCCACCCCGTGAGCAAGTACCCCTCGGCACCGCCCTTGCCCATCATCATGGGATGGGTGCGCCCCGGCAGGACCTGCCAGCGCTTGGCCCTGCTGGTCTGGACGGTGACGCCGACCAGCAGCGTGGGGTTGATGGGAAACTCGGCGTCGCCCTCCCAGGTCTCGAGCTCGGCGAGGGTCCTGCCCTCGGCGGCGGGCGGCGGTCGTGCGACCCAGGCG